AGAGCAGGGGACATGGAACGAAACGAGGGACGGACGAGAGTTCCGAGACCCCCGTGCCCATCGCATGATGCAGAGGAACACCACGGGGACGGCGAGCAGGAGGATGAGAACGAGCACGAGGAGGAGGAGAAGGCGGCGGAGGGGGAGAGAAGGGGTAGGACGGAAAGGAGGGGGTGGGGGGAGGTCCTCCTCCTCCTCCTCCTCCTTCTTCCTCCCTGAGTTGCCGCAGGAGGGAGGGATGGGAGATGGATAGGGGGTGAGAAGGAATTTGGGGATGGGGGGGATGAGAAGGGAGATGGTTGAGAAAAGGAAGGAAGAGGAGGGCCTCAAGGGAGGGATGGAGGGGGATGCCCTCCTCCTGCTCCTCCTTCTCCTCCTCCTCCTCCTCCTCCTCCTTCTTCTCTTCCCACTCCTCGCTCAGTAGCCGCCGAGGAGCGAGGCGGGGGTGATAATTTAGAATTTGGTAGGAGAAGCAGGAGATGGGGAAGGATAATCCGGAGAAGCTGGAGAGAGAAGGAGGGCGGAGGATGGGAGAGGGTCGGCGGAAGGGACAAAGGACGGAGGACAGGCCACGAGGAGGGGGAGGCTGAGAAGGAGGGGAACAATGAGAATGTAGGAGGGGCAGGAGTAGGAATGTTGACGAAGAGACGCTTCTGAGGGGCGAGCGGCCGATGGCTCCTCTGCGCACGCGGTAAAGTCGGATCCGGAGCCAGGGGAACTGAACCTTGGGCCGACCAGTCAGCGCAAAGGCCCTCTGCGCTCCCATATCCCCTCCCCTTCCTCTCCGCTTCTGCGTCCACTTCCCTCCTTTTCTCCCATCCCTTCTCCCCCCCCCTCCCCTCCCCTCTCCCCTCACCTCCTCTCGCCTCCCCCTGCCCCTCTGCACCCCCCTCCCCTTCCTCCCTTCCCCATCCATTTCCCCATCCTCTGCAATCCTCGCGAATCCCCGCCCCTCCCCTCCTCTCTCCCTCTCTCTCTCTCTCTCTCTCTCTCTCTCCCGGAAAGTCACACGCACACCTGACATAGCACATCCCGAATAACGCATATCTTACCTACCACCTCTCATACATCATTTAAAATGCATCATACTTGGATTCTCTATGACGTTTATACCAGAGTGATGGGCTGAACCGAACGGTCATTCACTGTCCCTGGATACGTGGCTGAAGTGGAATTCCGCCATGCGGATTCTTGTTGTTCTTGTTGATGTTGATGTTGTTGGTGGTGGTGGTTCCGCGACCCACCCGCGACCCACACCGCGACCCACCCGCGACCCACCCGCGACCCACCCCGCGACCCGCCCAAAATGTTCGGCGCCTGCGGCGGGTTTGATTTTGCATTCGCTCCAGGTGGGGAACCTGCGACCCACCCGCGACCCAATCCTCGCCCGCGACCCACCCGCGACCCACCGCGACCCACCCGCGACCCACCCGCGACCCACCCCGCGACCCACCCGAAGTTTTCGGCGCCTGCGGCGGGTTTGATTTTACATTCGTTCCAGGTGGAGAACCTGCGACCCACCAGCGACCCAAACCGCGTTCAGTGCACAAATCCAAATTTTCGGCGCCTGCGGCGAGCTGTTTTTTAATTCTTTCCAGGTGGAGGCGTCGCCCGCGCCCGCCCCCTCACTCTTATCCGCAATTGCGGGGTGCTACGTATATACATACTGTCATTCACTGTCTCAGCTCGCGTGGCTGAAGTGAGGTTCTGCTGATGATACTGTTGTTGGTGGTGGTGTTGTTGTTTCTGTGGTTGTTGTGATTATTGTTGCTGTGGTTGCAATTGTTGTTTGTTGTTTGTTGTTCGTTGTCGTCAACCCCCCCGCATCCCGGCCCGCGACCCGCCCGCGACACGGCCCGCGACCCACCAGCTGCCCGCCCGCGACCCACCCGCGAACTACCCCGCGAACCGTCCGCGACCCACCCAGCGACCCACCCGCGACCCACCTGCGACCCACCCGCGACCCACCAGCGACCCACCCGCGATCTGGCCCGTGACCCACCCGCGACCCATCTGCGATCCACCCGCGACCCACCCCGCGACCCACCCACATGCTCTAATACGTAGCACCCCGCAATTGCGGATAAGAGTGAGGGGGCGGGCGCGGGCGACGCCTCCAACCGGAAAGAATTAAAAAACAGCTCGCCGCAGGCGCCGAAAATTTGGACTTGTACACTGAACGCGGTTTGGGTCGCGGGTGGGTGGCAGGTTCTCCACCTGGAGCGAATGCAAAAGAAACCCGCTGCAGGCGCCGAAAATTTTGGGTGGGTCGCGGGGTGGGTCGCGGGTGGTGGTCGCGGGTGGGTCGCGGGCGCGGTTTGGGTCGCGGGTGGGTCGCAGGTTCTCCACCTGGAACGAATGCGAAAGAAACCCGCCGCAGGCACCGAAAATTTTGGGTGGGTCGCGGGGTGGGTCGCGGGTGGGTCGCGGGTGGGTCGCGAGGTGGGTCGCGGGTGGGTCGCGGGGTGGGTCGCGGGTGGGTCGCGGGTGGGTCGCGAGGCGGGTCGCGGGTGGGTCGCGGGGCGGGTGAAGGGTGGGACGACGACAGCAAGAAACAGCAACAACAACAACAACAACAACAACAACAAGAATCCGCATGTCGGAATTCCACTTCAGCCACGCACCCAGGGACAGTGAATGACCGTTCGGTTCAGCCCCCTCACTCTGATGAAAATCAGCGCCTGCAACGGATTCGTTGTACAAGTTGAAAAGATTAGGCGCCTGTGACGGGCTTCTTCAGATCCTCGCAGACTGCCGACGTCCCCGCCGCCCCCGCACACTTATCCGCAACTGTTGGGTGCTACGTATATATACATATACTTGTATACCTATACCTATATGCATATGAATATACGCACCCCTATGTCTCACATGATCTCTCTCTCTCTCTCGTTATTTCTTTATTGGTGTGTTGTTCTATCTCTCTCTGTCTCTGTCTCTCTCTCTCTCTCCCCCTCTCTCTCTCTTCTCTCTCTCTCTGTCTCTCCGCCCTCTCGTCTCCCACTTCTCACGGTCCGTCAAACATATCCCATCTCTCTCGCTCTCTCTCTCTCTTCTTTCTCTCTCTCTCTCTCTCTCTTTCTCCCTCTCTGTGTCTCCCTCTCTATCTCTCTCGCTATCTCTCTCTCTCTCTCTCTCGCTCTCTCCCCCCTTCTCCCTCTCTCTCCCTCTCTCTCCCTCTCCTCCTCCTCTCCACTCCCCCCTCCCCTCCTTTCGCCCCCACCCCCTTGCCACCCCTCCCTCGTCCCCCCACCCCCTTCCGCACTCCGCTGCCTTGTATTAGTGGGCTCTTGGGCCGCTCTTAGGCAGTCTGGGGAGCCCTCAGAGCCGCGAAAGGCCATCAGGGGCGCCCATGCCAACAGCTGACAGCAGTCTGGGCCACCACCACCCAGCCTACTCCGAGGTATACACGTATGTATACATGAACGTACATACATCTATAGAATACAACTATGGCCGTGTGATGCACATTGACACTCTTGTATGTGGATCGGCACATGTCGCACATTATGTTTGTAGGTATATGTTAGCCAGCGTGGGTCCCAAACAATGGCTGCTTGCAGTCTGTGCGGTGCATACCAGGTGGCATAAAGGAATGCACAGCAATTGAAAGCAGTGCGCAGCAGTTCAAAACAGTGCAGCACAGGCAAAGACATGTCAAGCAATTCAGAGCACTGCGAAGCAATGCATATCAATGCACAGTCATGCAAAAACAGCGCACAGCAGCGCGATTGCGATGCCATGCGAGCGCAACGCAATGCGATTGCAACGCGATGCGGTTGCAATGCAACGGGGGGGAGGTGCAACGGGGCGGTGGCAACGGGCGGGAACGAGGCTGCGGGGGCGGCAACCGGGCCATTTGCAAGGCACAGTGGTGCGGCGACGGAAGGGAAAGTGGCCGCCAGGGCGGCAAACGGGCCCAGCTCCTGCGAAGGCGAGTAAGAAGCCCTCAGTGCAGGTAACATGTGGACATGCACGTGTGGACTCGCGCTCTTTCTGGCGCGGACGCTCCTGGGAACCGCCAGAGCGGGAGCATCCACGCTGAAAACCTGCCCTCGGGGCACGCTTGGCGGCGCGCACAGGGGGGTGGAGGGAGGGGGAGGGCTTCTCAGAGGGAGGCTGCTTCTGAGAAGGCGCGGGCCTGACGTCTCTAGATGAGGCCCGCGCCTTCTGAGGACCAGGGGTGCTTCTAAGAAGCCCTCCCCCCTCCACCCACGCGACGACGCGGACGTGCCTGCTGCACGCGACGCGGAGGAGCTCTCTGCGCGTGGCGGGCACGCGACGGCGTCGCGGGTGCCATCTGCACGGCGAGGGGGCCGGGAGGGGGTGGAGGGGAGGGGGGGGGGGACCGTGCGCCGCCCCTCGCCCGAGGCGGTCGAGGACTGCACATATGGGCAGGAACTCCTGGAGGCCCGCGCGGGCTTCTCGGATCTGCGCTGAGCCTCCGGTTGCTCCCCTCGTACTGAAGGGCCACATCCCAGAACAAGCCAATCGAGCACCCAGAAAGGTATCCAAAATAGTGTTGGGCGGGCATCGCCTCCCAGAGCCCGACACGTGAAGACCCTCCTGTTTCGGTGCTCTCTTGGTGCTCGAAATTCTTTCGGGTGGTTCAGGCTAAAGTCGGTTGGAACGTCATAAGCTTCACCTTAGGTCAGGCATGTCCCCCTACAGGCGGATTTTGGAGGAAACGTTGAACATATGGTGAAGTTAAAAGTAATAGAAACATCGTCCCCTGACCACTTTTAAGCTGTTCTTGCATCTTTCTCCTGTGGAGGGACGTGCCCGACTGAAGCTTGACCCTCCTCCCTGGCGCGCGGAGAGCGCCAGAAAGCACTGCCAGGCGGCCCCAGCGCCGGTCTGAGAAATCCGGGCGGGCCCCACTGCCGCTGTGGCGGGCGGCTGGCGCCGGAGGGCCCCCGCGCGCGCGGCGGGTGCCCCCCCCCCCTCCCCCCGGGCGGGTCAGGCTTGGCAGGCGCACCGCGGCAGCAGGTGCCTCATGGTCAGCGAGACCCGCCGCCCGCGCTGGATGACGTCCCCCGCTCGGACGCGCCCGCCCAGCCAGCGGAGGTTGCAGACGCTGATCGGGGAACAAGCAGGGGCATAAGCCGATGTTGCCCCCATCGTGCTTAAGGACCACATCGCAGAATGAATTTCGAGCAGCCAGAAAAGTGTCGAAAGAATGTCGAAACAGTGTCGGGCGAGTGTCTCCCAGGGCCCGACACGTGAAGACCCTCAAGTGTCGGTAGTTTCTTGGTGCTCGGAATTCTGTATGGTGATCAAGGCTACAGTAGGTTGGAACATCATAAGCGTCAACATAAAAACTCAGCGGTGCGCGCGGATTTCTCAGATCGGCGCTGGAGCCCCCTGGCGGCGCCTCTGGCGCCCTCCCTGGCGCGCCCAGCGCGCCAAGTAGGGAGCGGCGCGGTCCCGAGAAATCCGCGAGGACCGCCGAATTGTTCTGTTCATGGCTATGGTGCTCCCATCGTGCTCGAGGACCACATGCCAGACATAATTTCGAGCACCCCGAGAGATATCGAAACAGTGTCTGCCCGACACGCTGGCGAGGTGTCGGCCGAATATCGCCTCCCGGGGCCCGACACGTGAAAAACCCTTCAGTGTCGGTAATTACTTTCCTGGTGCCAGAAACTCGTACTTTTGATCCAAATAAATGTAGGTTGGAACATCATAAGCTTATGCCAATGTTTGTTCCCCGAGCTGTCGCCCACGGCGTCGGCGGCCACGGCCTTGAACCCGTGGCGGTGGTGCCAGAAGGCGTCGCGCGCGAAGACCAGCAGGCTACGGGGCTCGAGGAGCACGCTGACCTGCTCGGCGCCGCCCACGTGCCCGCCGGGCACGTTTCTCTCCGCGTCCCACGCGAGGCTTGTCTTCTCGTTGCCCGCGCAGGGGTAAAAGTCGAAGACGCAGGCAGAGCCGAGGCTGAGGATAGCGACCTTCGGGTAGTAAACCGGGCCGTCGCAGTGCGGGTGGATGCCCTGGCCCGGCCAGTAGGCGTTGATGCGCACACTGTTCATCGGGAAGAGGGCCCCGTCGAACACCCCCAGCTGGTGGAGCGCCTCCGCCAGGTTCTGGTACACCTCTGGCAACGGCACGCGTTCCAGCCCGCGCCCGCAGGGGCACCGGTCGCCGGCGCCCCACTCCTGCGTGGCCCGGGTGCCCATGTCCTCCCAAGCGCTCATGTCCGCGTCCGCCATGGACAGCAGCTCCGCCTCCTGGCCCTCCTCGATCCAGTTCGGGACGTAGTACCTCGACAGCCGCCGGTGCGACTCTTCCAATCCGCGGCCCCAGGGCTCCTGACCGCCCCCCTTCTCCCCTAGGGATGGTTTGTCGCCCAGGGCCCATGCTCGACAGTCCCAGGGCCCGACGAGGGCCCGTGGAGGCCGACATCGAGGAGGAAGCTCTCGGAGCAGGGCGCGCGGAGGCAGCGGCGGCTCATCGGCCCCCGGACTCCCTGGGGGTCATCGACGCCCGAGCTGCGCCCAGCCGTGGCCACGAGGGGGCGCTCCGAAGAGGACGATCGCCGTCGTCCCGGGTGCGCCCCCCTCTGCCCCTATCGAGGCCGTTCGGGGCGCGGCACACGGTCGGCACGCCGCCCACCGCGTACGCGGCCAGGCTGTCGTCCTCGGCCGGCTCCAGCGGCCGCAGCACGCCGCACCGCGCGCCTGAGGGGCAGGGATGAGGGGGGAGAGCAGCAGAGGGGTGGCGAGCACCGAGCTGGAATCGGCGAGGCACCGCCGAGGGATCGGCAATCAGCGCACGACGGCGCGTCCGAACGCTTCCGGGCGGGTGGGGCCATCGAACGGCTGTTGGCGATCAGTGGGGTAGGTCGGGCGTGTCCCCCTGCAGGCGGACGTTGGGCGAAAAATGAAACATACTTTTTTTCAAAACAGGAACCCAAATAATTGTTTGAACTATTTTTGGCTACTCCTCATGTAGAGGGCCATGCACGACTTAAGATCACCGACGACAGCGCCAACAAAAAACCTCGGAAGCCTTCAACCTCGCCCCCTTCTCCTTATCAGTCCAGACACCCAGACCTCCAACGCATTGAAAAAATCAAGACGGAGGATGTTCTCGATTTCCGGCATCTAGCGTCTAGCGGTCCTCGCTGGGCCCCAGGACCGCCAAAAAACGACTCAGAAAGAAAAGCCGGTCCTGGGGAATGGGTCGAGACTTCCGGGGACCCCGCATTGAAAAAACCACGACGTCGAATCTTTGGGAATGCGACGTCCTGATTTTTTCAATACGCGGTCCCCGGATGTCCCGACCCTCTCCCAGGGACCGGTTGTCATCCTGAGTCGTGTTTTGACGGCCCCAGGGCCCGGCAAGGGCCTCCAGAGGCCGAAAACAAGGAAAAACCTCCATCCTGCATTTTTTTCACGGCGCGACCATGTCTGGGAGTCCCTCCCCCCTTTCGTTGCCCCTACAGCCGAGAGCCGCCATCGCCGCGTCGCGGACGGGGGCCGCCAGCCTCTGGGACGGCCCAGCGTCGCCGTCGGCCGCTTCTGCGGGTGCCTCCTCGGGGGCCGCGGCAGCGGCGAAGTGGCCGACCAGGCGCGGCTCGTCGCCGCCGTCGGGGCAGAAGTACCACTCGCCACAGAGGGTCGGAGAAGGGCCCGTCGAGAGGCAAGTCTAAAGGCTTCCTAAATGAGGTCGGAGAATAGATGGGGTCGGAGCATCGCGCCGCATCGCGGCTACATCGGCGATGCATCGGCGATGTATCGGCGATGCGCACGCGATGCGTCGTCGACGTCGGCAATGCATCGGCGACGTCGACATGAAGCTAATCGGGCTCCGCATCGAGCCGCATCACCGATGCATCGACAATGCATCGGCGATGCGGCGCGATCCTCCGACACCATCTACTCCGGCCCCATCTAAGAGGCTTAGGAAGACGGCGGCCCTTGCCCCTGTTCTGGGCCGCCTGGAGGCTGCTGCTCGCCGCTGGGCCGGATCCGCGTCGGGGCACGAGCCCAGATGGGCCCCGGGAGGCGTCCGGGACTGGTGAGCGGACTTGGCCCGGGCGGTGGAGCGGAAGACCCCCTCGAGGGTCATGCAAGATCATGACGGTCATTTTTTACGGCTATACTTTCGGCCTCTGCAGGCCCTCGCCGTCCAAGAGAACGGCTCACGACGGGGGCCTTGGGCCGCCGTGGCCTCCACCGGCCCCCCTCCGAGGATGGGCGCCAGCGGGTCGCTGCGCAGCGCCCACACGCCGCGGAAGCGGTGGGGGTGCTCCGGGATGTCCGCGGCGGCGGCCGCGTACTGGAAGATGTCCAGCTCCAGCCCGGCCGCGCCCCCAGCGCGTGCCCAGTGGCCCACGCCGCGACCCACCACCCGAGCGCCGTCCGCGAAGCTCGGGGGCTGTCAGCGGCCCACAGCCCCGACGTCGTGCTTCGTTTCCTGACGTCGCCCCCCAGAGGTCTCGACCCAGTCCCCAGGACCGGCTTGTCGTCCCGAGTCGCTTTTTGGCGGTCCCGAGGCCCAGCGAGGGCCTCCAGGTGCCGAAAGCGGCGAAACACCTCCCCGCCTTGGTCTTTCCAATGCGCTGGATCTCTGGGGCCATGGCCCCTCGAGGCGCTCCTAGCTGTTCGCGCCACCGTGGAGGCCATCGCCTCGTGGGGGGGCCCTCGAGGGCCTCGTCGGGGGCCCTGGAGCCTCGAGGGCCTCGTCGAGGGTCTCGTCGGGGGCCCTCGAGGCCACGTCGGGGGCCCTGGGGCCCTCGAGGCCGCGTCGGGGGTGGTCTCTGCAGGCCATCGCTGGCCCTCCCACGGGAGAGGCGGGGGGCACCCTCGGGGCCACGGGGCCTCCTCCTCCTGCTCCTGCTCCTGCTGCTCCTCCTCCTCCTCCTCCTCCTCCTCCTCCTCCTCCTCCTCATCCTCCTCCTCCTCCTCCTCCTCCTCCTCCTCCTCGTCTCCCTCCTCCTCCTCCTCCTCCTCCTCCTCCTCCACCTCCTCCTCCTCCTCCTCCTGGTCCTCCTCCTCCTCCTACTCCACCTCCCCCTCCTCTGGCAGCCTCCGACATGTAGGCCGCGCGCCCGCTGGGGTCCAGGAACACGTGCCCGGAGATCGCTGCCCCGCAGCCCAGGACCGAGGCGGTGAGAGACCACTCGCCCTCCGGGAAGGGCGGCCCTGGCTCGCTTTCGGCGCGACTGCGGGGGTCACCCGGGGCGCTGGGCGCGCCAGTCATGGGCGGCCAGTCCGGCGCCGGGCCCCCCCCAGGCGGGGCCCTTCGAGCAGGAAGGGAAGGAGAAGAGGACCGTCAGAGGGAGGGGGTGGGGCTCGAAGGGAAGAGAGGAATATAAGTATGAGTATGAGTATGCGTATGCGTATGAGTATGAGTATGAGTACGAGATGAGTAGGAGGAGGAAGAGGAGGAGGAGGAGGGGGAGGAGGAGGAGGAGGAGGACAGAATGAAGAAACTCTTGACGTCTCCAGTCATGGAGAGAGGTTCTGAAAAGCGCGGCGCCCTTCCGCCAAGGCAGCGCCCGCGGCAGGTTTTCATCATTCGTTCCCCTGACATACCTCTCACATCTTTCATCATGCCTCTACCTTACCTCACACATCTCCTACATCCTCGTGAGAATCAGTCGATTGAACAGTTTCTTTCCATGCCGACCTCAAGCCGCCATCGTCTTTGGCGACCACGCGACGACAAAGCATGGGAAGGTCTCAGCTGTTTCCGTCTCAGACAGCCTGGGATGCATTAAAGCGCCTTCTTTGGCGGCGCCGTCAGCTGCATCGTTTCCGATGATGTGGAGACGCTCGGCCCACGGAAGGGCATCGTCGTCCTCCCTGTGGGCCCGAACCTTGGAGACACCACGGAGAAAGGAGAAAGCCCTGACCGAAAGCGTCCGCCTGCATAACAAGACCAGCGTAGGGCCTGTTAGGGTGGATGCGGTCCTGGTGATTTTTGCCGAATTCGTTGGCCACTACCTGGCAATCGGAATAAAAGTCAGCAGCTCCAGACAACACTGAGGCAGCGCTGGCAGGAGAAGGAGGAGGAGGAGGAGGAGGAGGAGGAGGACGAGGAGGAAGGAGGAGAGAGGAAGAGGAAGGGAGGAGGACCAGGAGGAGGAGGAGGAGAGGAGAGGAGGAGGAGGAGGAGGAGGAGGAGGAGGAGGAGGAGGAGGAGAGGGGGAGGAGGAGGGGGAGGAGGAGGAGGAGGAGGAGGGGAGGGAGGAGGGAGGAGGAGGAGGAGGAGGAGGAGGAGGAGGAGGAGGAGGAGGAGGAGGAGGAGGAGGAGAGGGAGGAGGAGAGGAGAGGGAGGAAGAAGGAGAAGGAGAAGGAGGAGGAGAAGGAGGAGGAGGATGAGGAGGAGGAGGAGGGGGAGGGGGACCCCCCCTGGAGCCGGTAGTGGGTGCTGGCGGTGAGCAGGCTGCACATCGTCTCGTCGGACAGCGTCCTGCGCTCGCGAGGGGAGGCCCAAGAGCTCTGCACAGCCCTCGGTCTATACCGCACGGGGCGCTGCACAGGGGGCGAGGGGGCTTTTGTCTGGCCGCGGCGAGCCTCGCAAGACAAACGCAAACTTTCTCAGAAGGCGCGAGGGCTTCTGAGAACTCCCGCCGCCTTCTGAGAAGGCCTTCTCCTTCTCACATCCCCCCCCCTCGCTCGCCGTTGAATATATATATATATATACATAGATATATACATATATATATATATATATATACATACATACATACACACATATTCCCCGACAAAGGTCCGTGGACTGGCCCGAAAACCAAGGCCCGTCTTGAGCCCCAACGTGGTCCTTAGCTCAGCGTCCTGACTGCACGTTCCCCCTTGATCGCCGCGGCCTGAACCCACTGAGCACTGACACGCCGACGTCAAAAAAGGGCGAAACCAAAGTGGAAGGGGACAGAGAAAGGACAAGATGTGGCAACATGTGGCAACCCACACATCAGCGACAGCCAGGCTGGAACCTCTGAGACGTCTCCTCATCGAATGCGGTCTGACGACAGCGACGATGCCGACGATCGCGACGACGCTGACGACAACGACGTCGGCGACGACCAAGACAGGAACGGCGGCGGCGGCGACGACCACGACGGCGGGCGCCACAGACGACGACGGCGGCCCTGGCACCCTCTGGCCCGAAGAGGGCCACGCGCCCAGGCGTCTCGCGGCCTCGGACCTCGACGGCGCCGCGGCCGCCGCGTCCTCCTCCTCCTCCATCCTCCATCCTCCATCCTCCATCCTCCTCCTCCTCCTCCTCCTCCTCCTCCTCCGCCTCCTCCATCCTCCATCCTCCATCCTCCATCCTCCATCCACCATCCTCCATCCTCCATCCTCCTCCATCCACCATCCTCCTCCTCCTCCTCCTCCTCCTCCTCCTCCTCCTCCTCCTTCTCCTGGTCCTCGACGGCGCCGCCGCGGCCGCCGCGGGCGCGGAAGAAAAAGCGTGGCCGCTGGGGCCCTGCCTCCGGACCAGGCCCCCGCCCGGAGCCGCCCTTCCACGGCCCCGGGGGGAGGCCTGGGAGGGCTCCCCAAAAAAGCAGGGCGGAGGCTCGCCATCGCTCGGACGTCCATTCCCTGTGTTTTTTGTCGGTTTCGTGCGTGGCTTTTTCGCCAAATGATCAAGGATGCTCCTCGATGATTCTCGCCGAGGAAAGAATGCACACGTCCGAGCGATGCCAGGGAGGGCGACAAGAGCAGAACCTCTGGACCCGCCTCCCGCGTGACGCCCGCCCTGCTCGGCGACCGCCCAAAGCACCCGAGGATCTCAGCTTCCCATGGCGCTGCTTGTAGAGGTCCCGATCCCTTCCCTAGAAGAAGAAGATGAAGAAGAAGAAGAAGAAAAACACAATCAACATAAACTTTTCGCGCTCCGCGCGGATTTCGTGGATCTGCGCTGGACCCCCTCCCTTGCGCTCGGAGCGCGCCAGGGGCGGCGCTGGAGGCGGCGCTGGGGGGCCCCAGAGCGGGTCCAGGAAATCCAGCGCGGAACGCCAAGAGTTTATGTTTTTGGCGCTTTCTCTTCCTCGACTTCCCAGGAGCAGCTTGTCGTCCCGCATCGCCCGATGCCGAACCCCAGGCGCCGAAATCGGGGAACAGAATCCGATTGTCGGAGATCTGGGCTTCAGTCGGGCCTGCCCTCCTACAGGAGGATGTTGGGCGGAAAATAAAGAGTAGTCAAACAAACATTCCCAAATGTCCAAAGATAGTCGAAACATTGTTGCCAGACCATTGGGCGCGCGGTGTGGAGCGTCGGAGCAGGGCGAGCCGAGGCAGCGGCAGCTCAAGATCGGTCCCCGGGCCGTCCTCCACCGAGGTCCAGGCGCACCAGCCTGACTTGCGTTCAGCCAATTTCGTTCTAAGAACATGTCATGCAGAAATGTGTTTAGAAACATTTCGTTCTTAGAACCTTTCGTTTGAGGAACATTTCGTTCTAAGAACATTTCGTGACGATGACCCACAGCCTCAGCCAGAAATGTTCTAAGAACATTTCGTGCAGACCACAAAAGGTTATTAGAACATTCTTTGGTAGGCCTATAGGCGAGCCAGGACGCTTCGCCACTGCTTGACAAAGGGCCAACTATCGTTACCTCAATTCGCCATTCCTTCCGAGCAGACGCTGCGGAAAAAATGCAACATCGCGAACAATCACGACCAGAACCCTCGGCCCCATCTTGGCGCGCCATTCTTCGAATCAGATCGATCTGTGAGGGTCCCGGGGCCCGAAACCTGACGAAACGCCCGCGGCTCGAACACAATTGAAACGCCAGAATATCGGAGTTCATCTGTCGCTCGGTCGCTCGGCGTTGGCGGCGAGAAAGTCCGGACCAACTCGAAGTCGGCGAGCTTGCCGAACGGGGCGGCGTCGATGGGGCGCCGACCGCGGGGGCCGTCGCCGCCGCTGTCCTGCGACGCTCTCTTCAAGGGGCCCAGGGGCGTACAAACGAATAGGCACCGATTCTTTGATTCCCAACATATTGTTCCATATGTCCTGGATGTTCCTCTCCCCCCATGTCCCTCAGCTTGCCTATATTCTCACGGAGGTCAGCGTTTATGTATGCCCGTGTCTATTTGCCCCTCCTGGTCTCTCTCTCTCTCTCTCTCTCTCCCTCGGCGCGCGCGGCCGCCGAGCGGTAGGTCGGCTCGAAGATGCGGCTCGAGGACCCAGACCCTTCTGAAGAGATTCCCGGAAGCCTCGCCCGTCGACTTGAGGCCCAACTTACGTCGGATCCACGTCGTGTTTACGTCGGGCCCGCGTCGGGCGTGGGATTTGCGTCGACTCCACGTCGGATTTACGTCGGATTCACGTCGGAACATCGCCCTGCGAACGTCGTCCCATATCTGACAGGGCCGACGTTCGGACTAGATCGCACGACTGTTGCGCGCCGCGCGAGGCCAGCCGGATTTCCCTCATACCCGCCACCGCGCAACTGGGCACGGAATGGGCGTGTCCTTAAAGTCCTTTGCCCAATTCATTGGGACTCAGTCATCGATCCTCCCTGAGACTCAGTCATCGATCCTAAGCAGTTGCTACAGTCCCGAAGCCCAAATTGCTAAATCTTCTTGGGTTTGTCGCGGTTCCCCTGGGCATGGGAGCGTCTCCCCGCGTGACTTGCTCGGGCCCAAGAACCCACGAGGGGCCTTGAGGGCCCCAACAGACCCCCAAGATGGTGCAAGAGGGCCTCGACGCGCCTAAAGGTCGCTCCAAGACGCCCAAGATGGCCCACAGAGGTCCAAGAGGCCTACAAGACGCCCCAAGAGGCCTCCAAGCGGCGTCCTGAGAAGTGTCCCAACAGGCGTACATCGTAGATTTCCCGTTGGTTCTAAAAGGTTTTGGGCGTTTTCGCCTCTTCGGCTTGCTGACGCTCCCAGACGGCCCACCACGCCCCCCAAATCGCCCCAAGACTGCCCAATAGGTTCCCAAAAAGGAACCGGAAAGGGCCCAAGAGGGCCACAAGACGGCCCTAGAGGCGCCCAAAAAGGCCCGACAGGCCCCAACAGAAGGCTCGAAGATCCAGATGGGCTGGCCCAAGAGGCCCCCAATATGCCCCCAACAGGCACCCAAACTGCCCCCAAGATGCCCTCAAGAGCGCCCCGAACTGACCCCAAGAAACATCCTTGAAAACTCTGGCCCGTAACCCAGGCACGGTGGCGGATGGGCCGAAGGCCCTTAGGACGAGACCCCCTCGCGTCGTGGAGGAATCAGAACGGAAGGTTGTTTTACAATTTTGGCCTCCATGGGCCCTCGGTGGGCCCCGGGCCGTCAAACAACAGCTCAATATTAAAAGCGGGTGCCAGGGAATGGGCCCAGACAGCTGCGGGACCACGTTGCGAAAAAATCACGTCGTCGGGGGTCGGGGGGTGGCTCCGAAGGGAAAGATCCGAAGCTTGATAGTTATCTGCTGAGCGGTGCGGAACTGTTGCTTAGCGTATCGCGGCGGCCGCCCCGGCGACACGCGATGCGCCTTGCATGTGGATAGCGCATCGCACCGTTGGCGTGGCGGGAGGGAAAGGCTCGGGCCGTTGACGCCTGGGCACAGGGGCGTGGACAACGTGTCGCGCCGAAGCGTGGTGGGCCAGAACGGGCGGCGCCAAACGCAGAAACTTCCAACCGCAATTTATGTTTGGGTCTCCGGGCGCCCCCGCCGAAGCCGCTGCTTCCTTGAAGGGCCCCGCCCTCTTCCGCTCCACCCCTCCCCTCGTGCCCGTCCAGCGCCTGCTCTCCCCCCGAAGCTCTAAGCAGCCCCCTGAACACCCCCAACAACGGAGAGGAGAGCACATCCAGGTTTTGGTCGGGCATGAATCCCTACAGGCGGATTGTGGACGAAAAATCAAGGATAGTCCAAACATGCCCCCAAAGTATAAAGCAGAGTCCCAAGTACGAAGAATAACGCATAGTTCTGAATATTCCTCCTGTAGAGGGACACGCCCGACTCAAACCCAGGCCTCTTACAGGTCGATTTTCGACGAAAAATGAAAATGACCAGGAACATGTTCAAACATGGTCCAGACATACCCGAAAAGTCGTTCCCACACTATGTTTGGACTATGTTCGAATCTTCCTCCTCAAGAGGGACACGCCCGACTTCACGGTAGACCCGATCCGTCGACGGCCGTGCGGCGCACGGGCGTCCCCGCAAGCCTCCTGAATTACGGCCCCCCCCCCCCGAGGCTTCTCTGGAGAAGAAGGCCGTGGAGGGGGGAGGGGGCTGCTCGTCGACCTGAGCAGGTCCGACCCAAGAAGGTCGTGAAACTGCTCAAACCTGAGCAGGTCGTTGAACTGCTCCGACCTGAGCAGGTCGTTAGACTTGCTTCGACCTGAGTAGGTCGTTGAACTGCTCCGACCTGAGCAGGTCGTACGACTGCTCCGACCTGGCCAGGAGCAGACAAAGCACCCAGACCTCCGAAGTCATGAATTGTTCCTGACGTGGGCACCCAGCCCTGTGGGTCCCCAGATCTGAAACTTAGATCCACAAGCATAACAACATGCATAATAGATCTGTAACAAAAATGAACTTTGAACAGCTATATAACCAATTATATATGCATATAGTGTGTTGAACATGTAAAACAAATAGACGCACTGAAACATTAGGCCTCGGGGGGAACATCTTACGCTGGAGGCCCGCTTCTATACGGTGCCTACATGAAACGCGCCGAAGGAAAGGGAACAAAGAGGAGGAGGAGGAGGAGGAGTAGGAGGAGGAGGAGGAGGAGGAGGAGGAGAAAGAGAATGACAGGACGAGGGGAGGATGGAAGGGCAACGGGACAGCCAGCGGCAGCGGGATGACCATCGACGCACCAGAGTTGTTCCGTCGGTGCCTGGGGAAACGAGGATACGGGAGGAGGGGGATAGGATGAAGATTGAAAGTGTGAGGAGGGAGGGGGATAGGTAGGAGACGGGATGAACTGGATGAGGGAGAGGAGGGGCGCGAGGGTGGGTGGTGCTTGCCACGGTGCGCCTCCCTCGTTCCCTGCTTGTCGGCTCGAGGGATGGCGCCACCGTCGTGGCTAGGCCACGTCCCCAAGAGCTGGAGAGCCAGCCCCATCGGCCAAGCTCTGCAGGGGCAGCGTCGCGGCGCCATGCTGCCCGACACCCAAGTGGAGACCGCCTCCACGCCGCAGCGGTCCCTGCCCGACCGCCAGCCGTCCGGCCCATGGACTCCCATGAGTGCCGCGGGAGATAACGGGAGTGAGCACGGACAGATAGGGAGGAACCTGAGACGTGGGGGAGGGAGGGCGAGGAAAAGGAGGATGAGGAATAGGAAGAGGAGGAAAAAGTGAGGGGGGGAGGAGGGAGAGGAGGAGGAGGAGGAGGAGGAGGAGGAGAAAGAGGAGGAGGAGGAGGAGGAGGAGGAGGAAGAGCAGGAGGAGGATGAGGAGGATGAGGAGGATCCGAGGACGACGACGTTTGATAGAATATGGGTCTTGCCCAGGTGCTGAGAAGGAGGCCTCGATCAAGGCCCAGGACCTCACCGACCAGAAGATCGAGGACCTCCTGACGATGTGCGCGGATAAGCTCACTCGCTTCACGGACACGAACATGATGAGCAAGGCCCTCCTGGAGAAGTTCAAAGATGCAGGACCGCTGGGGAGTAGGAGTAGGACCAGGAGTATGAGGAGGAGGATGAGGATGAGGAGGAGGAGGATCGAGTTATTAGAGGATGAGGAGGACGAGGAAGACGAGGAGGAGAAGGAAGATGAGGAGGAACAGGAGGAGGAGGAGGAGGAGGAGGAGGAGGAGGAGGAGGAGGAGTGATGATGATGAGGTGTGTGATGAAGAGATGGAGTGCCAACGTTAGTGTAATGATGGTAATCACGGTGAGGATGGATGACGGATGTTCGGGATGAGAGGGAAGACACGGCGAGGGATGATGGAGGTACGATCTCAACGGTGATCAACGCTGGACTTGAGCTCCGCTGAGTTTGATCGGCCGCGCCTGGAGTGGAGTGCGGGGGGGGCGCATTCGGCCTCATATACTCTCCGCGCTCCATTACAGGCACGGCTGATCAAACTCAACGGATGTCAACGCCAGCGTTGATCACCGTTGAGATCGTAAATCCGCCGCTGCGGCACCGGCGTCGTTGGTCGTCGGTCGTGGTCGGCGGCCTGGCCAGCAGGGGGCGCGAAGATGACTGCAAGCGTGACCCCCTCCTCTGGTCCATTAATATCCCCTCCTACCCAGTCTGACCATTCATCCTCATCCCGTCTCCTCACGCCCCCCTCCCTCACATCAGCATCATCACCCTCATCCTCACACAAATCCTTATCTGTACCTCCTCCTATCTACACTGCCTCGGGGCCCCTCATATCACCCTCATCATCCTCCCTTGTCCTCCATCCCTTCTACTCCTCCTCCCTCCTCCTTATCCTCCTCCGCATCCCCGTCCTCATCATCGTCCTTAATATTATTCCTCATCATCCTCATCCGTGGCCAGTTTGGCTCGAGCTGGCTCGCGGTGGCGCGTGCACTCGGCTGCGCTGCCCTTCGCACCGCGGCCATCGACATGGCGGACGCAGCCTCCGATGTCGAGGCAGTGCCGCCAGCGAAGAAGCCCATGAAGGGGCCAGGGCGGTCGCAGCAGACGGAGGTCAGCCAGGAGCACCTGAACAGGATCATGAAGTCGCTGGTCACGAAGTCGTCCCTCCTGCCGTACCGCGAGGGGTTCTCTGGGGACAAGGACGAGGAGGTGCTGACGGCCAACCTGTGGTTGGCGCAGGTGCCCAGCGGAGTGTGCCAGGGCAAGATGAAGAAGGCCCTGCTCGAGGTCGCCCGCCACAACGAGGAGAGGTGGCGCTTGGCGAACGAGGCATCAGAGTGGGCCACCAGCCAGGCGAAGCGAGTGCGGGCGGCCGTGAGAGACATATCTCAGGCGCGCGTGAAAGTGAATAGCGGCCAGGCCATGCCAGAGTGGCTCAAGGCAATGATGCCAGAGGAGGATGAGGACGAGAAGCCAGCTGAGAGCCAGGCTGAGGGCGAGGACGCAGATGACGCAGAGGAGGAGGAGGAGGAGGAGAAGGAGGAGCAGCAGTACCAGGCGGCAGCGGGCGACGACGCGGGCGACGACGCGGGCGACCAGCAGGAGGCGATCGCGGCCGCGGAGGCGCAGCCTGAGCAGGCGGCGGACGGCGTCGTGGAGCCCGTGTACGCGTTCAAGTGCTTGCAGGACCTGAAGGTGGGAGCAATCCAGTAAAACGAAAGTCACAGCCAATCAAAAGTCATCGATGATCATCGCGGGCGCTGAGCCCCGATGATCAACGATGACTTTTGAATGGCAGCGGCTTTCAATTTAATGGATAGTGTTCCCTCAGGTGGCCGAGCGCAGGACGAGGCTCTCGAACGGGAAGCTCGGCAAGCCAGAGCACAGCCTCCCCCTGATGCCGCCAGCGGACGCCGACCCATCCGACCTCGTCACGGCGGAGTGGTCCGACGGGGTCAAGTGGCCCGTGCCGGCTCTCACGGCGAAGGCTCTCGCGGCAGACAGGGCCTCCAACGGCGGCGGCGGCGGCGGTGAAGATGGCAAATGGAAGGGTGAGCTCGCCAGGTACAGGCTGCAGGACCATGAGTGGGTACTGCAGGAGACCAACCAGCGCGAGACCGACATGATGTGGATCAAGGCGGACCTGGGCAATGGCTTCGGACAGAAGCTCCAGATCGTTGTCCAGGGCTTGTCCGCAGAGGAACGGGATCGCGCCGCCAAGGGCATGGAGGAGATCATGAAGAAGATGGCCCACGGCTTGTCCAAGGAGGACGCCACGAAGCTCAAGGCCCAGTACGCCGCGAAGAAGGCGCCCAAGAAGTCGGCACCGTTGAAGCGGCCCGCGGCCGCCACGGCGCCGCCCGCGGCCAGCGCTGGGGCGGGCGAGGCCGCGGCGCCGCCCGCGGCCAGCGCCGAGGCGGGCGAGGCCGCGGCCGCGGCGGAGGCCACCGCAGCGCTGGCGGCGCCAGCGGCGGCGGCGCAGCCCGCGCAGGAGGCCGCAGCCGCAGCGACCACAGCGCCCCCAGCCACGACGGGGGAAGACACGGTCGCGGCAGGTGCAGCGGAGATCGATACCAAGACGTGGGCGGCTCAGGCAGAGACGCTCGCGTACGGGAGCGCCGCGGACGACACGGTTCCAGCCTCGGCAGCGGAGCTGGAGCGCTCCACGGCGCAGCCATCCCAGGAGGTGACCACCCCGACCAAGAAGCGCTATAGGACGAAGACGGACCCCAAGACGCCGCCAGAGCATGTCGAGGGCGCCCCGAAGAAGCACAAGGCCTCCGAGGAGGAGGTCGTTGTCGTGCATGACAGCTTGGATGCATCAGCCAGGCCGCTCGCGGACAGCTCGATCGGCACCGCTCAGCTTTCGGCGTCCAAGGATGCCCTCCCAGAGCTCAAGAGCGATGCCATGGATTGGGCACCGCCAGCAGTGTTCATGTGGAGCCAGTTCGACGATTGAGTATCGATCAGTGCACGGCGGCAGCTGGCTCCCTCCTCCGCCTCCTCCATCCTCGCCCATCTACTGCGAACCTCCACCCCTAGTCCTCACCATAACGCCCTCGGTCTCCCCATCCGCGTCCCGAAGTATCAACCTCCCCTGACTCCTCATACTTGCCACTCACTTCCTCCGATCCTACTCAGCATCGTTAACTTCCTCCGACCCTCGTCCCCACAGCATGCGCCATGCCGCTACCCTGATCATAGCATTGACTCGCCCCGCGAGCCCATGATTGTAGAGGGCGACACTCCGCCCCCTGTGCCGCTTGTAGAGGGCGACACTCCGCCCCCTGTGCCGCCGCCCGTCTGCGACGCACGCTTTAAAGGTTGAATGCGGCCGCGCCTGCGTCGATCCACTGGTTCGCAAGTGGTGTCGTTGCCTGTGCAACGGATGGCCGTGCGCACACGTCCGCTGGAGCATTGCGGGGATCGGTCGATGCTCAAAACATGCACTGGGAGCGGGAACGCACGAACGATGGGCATGGTTTGGGAGGGGGCGGGCGGGTGACTGAGGATGGAGGCTACATGGGGGAGGGTGCGGAAGGGCGGCAGATAGGGAGTGTTACGACAGGAGCAGGGGGGGCACAGGGGACATGGTGAGGAGTACACGTGCAATGGAGCGAGCAGGGTTGAGGGGCGCCGCAGCAGGAGATGTATCCGAGCTCGGCGGCGACGAGATGATCCAGGCGTCCGACAACAACCCGCTGAACCCCGAGGATCCCGAGGACGCGTTCTGGCTCAAACTGAAGCAGCAGGAGTTCAAATTCCCCGCGCGTGGAGCTGCTGGCAATCCAGCGGCTGGCCGATTCGACAGGATGATCCCAAAGTACCCCGATGATGCCAAGAAATACGAGTCCTTGAAGGGCAACAAGATCAAGGAGGCCTTCAGGGCCGAGTTCATGTCCAAACGTATGAACGAGTACCGACCGATTCCAAACGATAACGGGTGGAGAAGGATGAGTGGATGATAAAGTTGTTGGGTGGGATGGTGGATGCGGGGGGGGGAGCGCGGGCACATGGAACTATGACGGATGATGGCGGGTAGTGGCAACGAGGGGGAGGAATGTGAGGAGGCGGTGGGATGAGTCAGGATGGGGAACCAGTGTGAGGAGAGAGCAAGAGTAGTGTCACCCCCCACAGGTACGTCGAGACGAAGACCGCGATCAAGACCGTCACAAAGAAGGAGATCAAGGAGGCCCGTTATTCATGGGGCTGGCGCCGACCTCCGTCCGACACCGATCGCGCCCCCGATCGTAACGACATCCGATCGTACGGGCCTCCGACCGCAGCGCCATCTGATCGCACGTACTGAAACTCAACGGTGCTCAACGGCAGCGCTGATCTGCGATGAGTTTCAGCATCCTGTCGATTGGCATGTGTCTTGTGGGTCCGCTCCCGCTCCCGATGAGCCCGTCGGCGGCCGGTGCGCGTGGCCAGTGGTCTCTGATCGGGGTGGGCCTCCTACGGGGGCGTGCTGACTACGCCCTCGGGCGCATCGCCACGGAGGAGGGCGGCGGTGAGGAGGGGAAGTCTAACGCGTGCAACTACGCCCTACGGAGAGCGCTGTAATGATCTGCAGATGGGAGCGATGATGATGAGGATGGGCGAGAGTACGGATGGTGAGATGAGAGATAGGAGAATAGAATAAGGATGGCGAGATGAGGATGGAGGAGGACGACGATGATGAAGGGAGAGGTGGATATAGGAGGAATGCCGTGATGATGAGGCGGAGGAGGCGTTGAGGGGCAACATAGCAATTGGCAGCACACCAAATACAATGCCGCATCATGCAGCAGACCCGTGCAGCACACACACACAGCAGCATGCCACGCATCAACATGCTGCACAGCAACCGCCCAATCAACAGGCAGTGCAACAAACTGCAGCAACACAAGACAGCGCAGTAACATGCACCGCATCATTCAACACAACAACACGCAGCACATCACAATGCAACATGTATGCCCCTTGTATAATAGTGCTCTCAGCTGTCACATCATGGGCCACCCATGGGTGAAGTACTCGAGCTGGACGAAATGTTTGAAATATCTCTATGTGACAGAGGGGATGGACGAAACCTTCGAGGAGAGCTGGAGCGTCACGAAGACGTACATTGGCCAAGGCAACGAGCAGAGCATCGCGGGTGTGACGCGCTTGCAGGGCTTGGCGGACGGCACGTTCGTCAGCGACCCGCGTGGGGACACAGGGGGCCGTTCAAGGTAATCGAGCGACGATGCGACGACGGCGGTTGCGACGACCGATGACGGTCACGGTTTCCGACGACGACGACGACGACGGCGAGCACGCCGCCGACGACGACGACGACGACGACGACGACGACGACGACGACGACGACGACGACAACGACAACGACGGCGGCGACGGCGGTGGTGGCGGCGGCGGCTGCGGCAGCGGCTGCGACGGTGACTGACGGCACTGCCATGTTTCGAAAACACACCCCTTTCGCACCGACCCCGATTACCCGAGGGGGTGGCGCGGTTGGGTGCGCGCGGTGCCTCTCGCGAGGACCCCAGCCTCAAGCGCCCGATCGAGGAGGGCCAGCGCGTTGAGCGCTCGACCAAGCTGCCCCGCGCCGAGGAGGCCGTGGAGCCGCGCAGCGAGGGCGCCAGCGGCACGCGCCAGATCGAGGCGACCGAGCAGGGCCAGCACGTGGACCTCGGGACCAAGCGCCCCCGCGTCGAGTCCCAGGATGCGCCCGCGGAGCCGCGCAGCGAGGAGAGCTCGCGCGAGGCCCGTGCAGCGGGTGCTGTGGCGGCACGCGTCCCTGGCACTCCAGCTGCTGCTCCAGGCGCCCCAGCTGGTGCTCCAGCTGGTGCAAGCGGCGCTCCAGGCACCCCAGCTGGTGCTGGCACGGCGCGCGCTGCAGCTCCCCAGCGCAGCGGCGGCGGGGCAGCGGCGGCGCCGCGCGGTGGGAAGCAGCAGAAGGTCAAAGTGGTGACCCCCGTGCAGAGGGCCAAGAACGCGAAGGCGAGCTACGGGTGCCAGACCACGGCGGCGATGACGCTCTTGAGGGAGATCAAGGGCGATCCCGAGAAGGAGGTGCACCCCGCGGAGGCTTGGGCATGGGCCAACTCTTCGGCGTTCCTCGGCGGCATCGAGTCGGCTTTGAACGCCGTGATCAAGTCCGCAGGTGCCAAGCCCATCTACAGCCGCCTCCTCTCCGAGGACATCGAAGTGATGAAGAAGCAGTCCGAGAAGATCGCTGACACCACGTTCGAGGACGACATCCAGTCCTTCTCTGCCACCGTGGAGCCGCTGATCAAGAAGCTCGTTTCGGAGATGCGCTTGTTGCTGCGCCAGCAGTCGGCGCGCATCGAGTCGCAGCAGATGGACTAGGTCGTCGCGGCAACATCACCAGCTGCGCCTTGTACGACTTCATGACCTCCTGCGACGGGGCTGGGTACACATGAGGATGGGTTGATCTCATGTACCAGGCGCAGGTGCGATCCTGAGGCTGACATGGGATGTGAATTGACTCTAAGCGTGCTGTGCCACCGACGGTGGCTGGAGGTGCCGTTGAGCACCGTTGAGTTTGAAAAACGCACAAACGGATGCGTCCGAACAGGTTTCAGCACGCTCGGGCGCAGAAAACACACCGTTGAGATTTGCGTTGAGATTTGCGTTGAGATTTGCGTTGAGTTTTTGTGTAGATCTATTAAAACACTGTAAAAACACACGTCTAAATAGATCTGGCCCATGGACATGGTACCGGTGATTTTGCCGGTGAGTACCGGTGATTTCCGTTGAGATTTCGGGGTGCTGTTCTGGAGACCACCCGACCCCCCCCGACCCCCCCAAAACAAACTCAATGGCAGCGTTGAGAACCGTTGAGAGCCGTTGATTTTTGATTTTGCACCCTGGGGGCCAAGGTGATTATGTTTAGCTTGTCTTCCGCAGCAGGTGAACTGCATGCAGCTCGGTGGCGGTTGCCTGCTGAGGCGAACTGGTGCATGCGCAGCGCTGCGCAGAACTTTGCCGTGGCTGCCGTCTTGCATGGGCGGCGTTCGCTCCATGTGCTGGCCGATTGTTGCACGGCAGAGCGTTTAAGACACGACGGCGGAAGCATATGATACACGGAATGCCCATAAGGTGGATGATGATGATGATGATGCTGATGATGATGATGATGATGATGACGATGATGATGATGATGATGCTGATGCTGCTGATGATGATGATGATGATGATGGTTGAGTGTAGGAGGGGGGTCTGGACTAGGATGATAACATGGAGGGATGAAGGAGGGATGGGTTGAGGGGCATGCTTAAACACGTGAGTTGACGACGAAAACCGAACGAGTGGACGGATAGCGCGATGATAACACTCGAGAAGCCACGGGGCGCGATGATAACGTAAGGGGGTGGATGTGATGAGCTGAGGGGTACGCAAAGTGCAGAGCGAGGAAGCATTCCGCTGTCGTGTCGCAGCGCCTCCAGCATCTGCTCGGGTGCGTCGTAGGGTGGGCCTGCGACGAGCGGGATATGTGCACGCTCGGGCAACTTCTCTCTTTCTCTTCCAGGAATAACACTGACGCCCCTGTCGCAATCGTCGGCCCCTGGGACTCTCCTTTACCCTCGCCAACCCCAGCCCTGCATATCCCCGATCATCTGTCTAGCGACCAACACTTGTGTTACCCATTATGCAGCGTCGATGTTGTATAGACCTCTTCTGCAGGCATTGGCCCGATCCAATCAGCTGCCTGCAGTTCGGGCCGCCCGCGTCACCCTCCCCCCGTGCGCTCATGGCGCACAACAAACGGCGCAGGTCAGTGTCTGCAGAAGAGTTCATCCCCAGCTACCTCCGTAACGAGTGGGGCGAGTTGCAACGACAGCGACGGCAGGCGGGTTACCAACTGATGCAGCACCTCCAGGCTTGGGCTACACAATGCGGGCACACGCGCGAACGCGCGCGTACACGCACACATGCACGCGTACACGCACACGCACACGCACACACACACATACACACATACATACATACGCACACACAACCACCCACGTACACAACAGCACGCATGCGGACACACTCACGCGCACACCCAATCCACGAAGCGTCGACCACGCTCTCGAGCTGGGGGATACTTCGACACATCGACTGGCGAGGGGGTACGTGGTGGGTGGTTTGTTCAGCGGGTCCCTATAGGCATTATTTGCAACCTGCAAACTGTCGGCGCAGGATTTCTCGGTCGCCTGCTTTTTCGCCGACAAAGCGGGGGTCTTGGGAGCGAACTTCGAGTCGTACGGGTTACCGCCTGGTCAGGGCTCTGGCAGATACCAGAAATACCTCGACGTCAAATTCGGTGATTCAGACATGTATGATTATATATCAGTCCCTTCCTATTCCAGGCGGACGACCGCCAACGAGCCGTTTCAGTTGCAAGTTGCGTTTGCGTTTGAATCATTGTGTGAAGAAGTCAGGTCGTCACCTGATATGCTTCGGACAATCACGCAGGCAGATTGGCCAGATGTGTATACGCAACACCCGTGCGTTGTCTCGTGCCTAGCCGATGGTCGAGCAATGCCGCTGCCTCTCGCACTATTCAAGTGCACGCCCCCCTCCGCCGCCCCACCTGGAATCCCTCTGGGCGCCCCAGCAAAGCTCATGTCAGCGATCGGTGAACCGAACGACAGCAATACACACTAGGGCATTATCTCATAGTTCGCACGGCACATAGTCTCCAGGAGCGCAACGCAACGCAATGCAATGATCTAGTATCGGCCACAGCCTGGAATGCCCCAGTAGTGGGGCGCGCGGATACACAGATGCTGTGAGATACAATTCAATCCTTGGCAGTGCCACGGATAGCGTTACGGGGTTCTGGATCGTCAACATGGTTTCGTTCAAACGCCACCTGGTGGCTTCGGTCAGAACTGCTAAGTTATGTAGGTGCGGGTGTCGGGGGTGGTGCAGCTTTTACGTTATACTTAGCTATGTGAAGTGGGTTCTAGACGCACTCTCGTCTGGCACGAGACCCACGCGCAGATGCGCTGGTTCGGCATGCCCTCCGACCCTTGACAGAAGGCGTCGCGAGCTCGGGGACAGCCTCGGATTTTCTGCCTGCGTGTGCTGGCTAAAGGGGGACTGGAGCGACGTCAACAAAACCCATGGGATCCCAAGTGTTTCAGCGGTCAACTCCCCGTGCCCATTCTGCACAACAGAGAAACCATCGATGCACGCGTTCTATAGAGAAATGTCGCTCGCTAATTTAGTTTGGGAGCCAGTGTGTAAAGGAGATTACGAGAGGTATTGTACTAGCCGCGAACATTATGTGGACGTGCCATCGAACGCAGTGCGCTCGAGATTGATGGAACTAATTAAATATCGGAAGAACGGGCCTAAAAATTGGGGTCCAACTGTGACGAAACAGGATGGGGATCTACGCCTGCAGGTCGGTGACGTGCTCGTGCCGTCCGATAGCTTGCCGATTGTGCACGACCTTGCAAACGCACCGACCCCCTTCACGGCGAAGTTTTGGCGTTTCGAATACGACGAGAATAATACTAGGAAGGGCATGGTTGTTCGGCGGAACCATCTTTTTTCAGCGTCTTTAGGGCTGGAGCCATCGTTGCACTGTGCCATCGATGTGTTACACACGCTGTGCTACGGCCCGATTCAGCGATACGGGTCAGCTGCCTTGTGGAGGATCATACTCGAGGATAGCGGGAAAAGGAGGTCGACGGGCTGACAGACTGGACGCGTGCATCAAAGAGATTCGGAAAGAGCTCGGAAGCTGGTATGAACGCCAACATGTGCCACACAATGAACGGATATATGATCTTACGCTGGGCATGTTGGGGGAAGACACTGACGAGGCTGCACACACAGGGTGTCCCATGAAGTTTAAAGCACATGAGACCATGATTATCATGTTGTTTGCAGTTGACCTGCTGGAGTCCACGCTTAACGTACCCAATAAAGTTGAGCTACTGAGGGCTGGCCGTGCAATGCGGGATTTTCTCCACACGCTCAAAGGGGAGGGGCTGGTGGTCCAGGAGTCCAAGCTACAACATCTATTCGATTGCATGCAAACGCACTTATTATTCTCAGAGGAGGCGGGGATACACTTCGTGCCCAAGCACCACTTCTCTGCACACCTAGTGGAAAGGATCGGGCTACATGGCAATATGTTACCCCCCTAGTGAATACAATGATATCGCCATCCGCCCGAGCTGTCCGCCGTCCTTCGTCGCGTCGGTGGCCGTGCCTCGACGACTTGTGGTGGATGGCACGGGCAGATGGCGAAACTCACTGGTGTTCACTGATGGCGGTGAGCTTCGTTGGGTTCCCAGACGCCCCCTCGGCTACTGCCCTGCGCGCTCCCTCTCCTCCATCTCCCCATCTATCTATGTATGCACATGTAGTGGTAATTTGGTGTCTGGCGGTCTCCGTCTTCTCCCACTCCTCGTTCATCGTGCATCGGTCAACTTCACCTCCTCAGCCCTCTCTATCCCTCTCTCTCTACACCTCTCTCGCTCTCTGTGTCTCGCTCTCTCTCTCTCTCTCTCCCTCGCTCCCTCTCTCTCGCTCTCTATATCTCTCTTTATCTCTCTCTCGCTCTCTCCCTCTGCATCCCGCCTTATCTCTCTCTCTCTCTCGCTAACTCTCTCTCTCTCTCTCCCTCTCTCTCGGTTAACCTCCCCCCTCCTCGACGTTATGCCCTGCCCCTTGCCCGCGCCGTCGCCCGTCGGGCGAGAGCCAGGGGTGTCGGACGTTTGGAGAGGGGGCGCGGGCACGATAGCCAGATATATAGAGAGGCGGGCTGGAGACGCGGGGGACGGGGGGTGCATCCGCTCCCCAGTGCCAGTGTCGGAGCGCTGCGTCGGCTGGCGTCGTCGCCTGTTCGGCGAGCTGGGGGGGGGGGGGCGGCCGCGCGCGCGCCGAACCATCTCGGATGCCAGGGGATCTCGCGTCGCCACGGCTGGACACCGATTCGAAACGTACATTGGTTCCTCTGGGGATGACAATATCTTAATGTCGATGCTGGTCGGCGCCACCCCTGCACCCCAATTGCGCCCCCCCCCCCGTCCTCGCTTCCCTCCCCGAGGGGAGTTGGATAGGAGATCAGGGGCCCTGGGAATCGGGCAAGCATCGGGGGGGGGGGCGCTGCGCCCAAGGTTGATCGCAGCCCATTGGCCCGAGGATCCAGTGGGGGGGGAACCCTCGATTCTACGCGTGCTACCTAGACGAGAGCCTCAACATCCTACTGCGGGGAACGGCGGAGAGGGCTCACAGGCAGAAGTTCGAATACCGTATATTCAAACTGTTCGAGCTCGTTGGGCGGCTCAAGCTGAACCCGCATATTTACCCCCCTGGCGGATTTCGGACATCATAATTCAATCAACCATGGCTTCGGCTAGATCGTCCATCGACGTTCCCGAGAGTGACGATGAAGATGCACGCCCGAGCGAGATTCCTCCCTGGATCGAGGCCCGAGCAGAGTACATTCTGGAAGACGACCTCGGCCTCCCAAAGGAAGCAATTCTGATCCCCGAACTTTCCTCACCCGAGCAAATGATTCGGTGTGCTGAAACTGACCGTGCAATGTGGGAGGTACACAATTATCACCACGACTACCCTAGAACGTTTCACTTGGCAATGATATTCCCCGACCCAACAGATGCTACGCTCCATGCGAAGCGTATGGGGTTTAATGTGGCATCGTATGACAGGTCGAATGGCAAGTGGTACGACATCAACACCATTGTTGGGCTGTTACTACTATGCCATGTCGTGATGCAGGTGCGGCCTGGTGGAACTATGTGGGTAAATGTTAGCAGATGTTCCGACATGGTGGGCCAGCTCGTGTGCTACCTGAGCATCCTCGCCCACATGCGACGTGTCAACGTTGCTGTGATGGTTCCCGCTGATACACCTTTACTTGAGGTCCATACACGGGCTGGGACATAATGAAATATCTCAACGAACCTTGCGGGCGCGCGCTGAGGAGTAGCGAAACTCAACGGCCGTCAATGATGCCATTGATGTCCATTGAGTTTCGCTGCTTCTCAACGTGCGCCTTGTCGCCGAGACACACGCACGCATGATGTGCGGTGATGTGTTCAATGGGGTGTGTGGCCGGATTGCTAGATGGGGCCAGCGGGGGGATGGGGTGAGAGCTCCGGGCTGTTCGACTGCGTAACCGTCCGTCTGGAGGCACATCGCCCGAATAGCCTTCTAGCAACGGTCTCGACACAATTGCCCAACCGACCTTACCCACTCCCCCCATCCACTTGCCATTCCTGTCATCATTCCTCGTCCTCCCCCTCCTCGCCATCCTCTCCCCCCCTCGCTCCATCCCTCCTCCTCGTCCTCCTCCTCCTCCTCGTCCGTCTCCTCCTCCTCCTCATCCCTCCTCCTCCTCCACCTCCTCCCTCGTTATAACTCATCACCCCTCTCGTTATATGCTATCATCCCTCCTCCACCCCAGGTGCAGCATATTTCGGATACGTTCAGCATCGTAGACGTCCACATGTACCCGACCACGGTCGGGTTCGATATCTGGACCAATGCGCCTGCCACCATCATCTGCCAGTGCATTGGAACCATAGGGCTGCAGCTGCGCAGCCGCAGTGATGACAGTGACTTTGGCACGACCGAGCTCGGCGCTGCTATCGTTCGGTTCGTGAGAATGTGTTGCGCTAGTTTTCATTAGTGCTGTCAGGAAGCTCTGTTGAGAGCCCGACCGCGTGTATACGCGAATTATATGTCATATTGCGTATGATATGCTCTCTCAGCCGAGCACGTTTCGATTTCAACGCTGTCGGCACGTTGCGCGATGCCAGACCCCGTCTCATGTCCTCCTCCGCATCCTCCACTTCCTCATCTCCCTCGTCCTGCCCCAGGCGGGTTGGGGTTTACTGGGGCGGTCGTTGCGAGAAACTCGGGGGGGCAACAAACCTCAACGCAAATCAATGCACGTCAACGCTCATCATTGATTTCGGGATCGAATTGTAAATAGACATCGGCTGGGGGCACACATCACCCGTAATTAAATTCGTGTCTCCCCCCCCTTCCCTTCCCCTGCCACAGTCGTTCGCCTGGGGTCGGAGCTGGCGTCGGATCTCTGGCGTCGGGTCGAGCGTGGGTGCCAGCACCGATGAGAGGGGGGGGGAGTGAGCGCGAGGACCGATGAGGGCAAGCGGCGGCCGCAAAGGTGGGAGATATGACCTAGGGCGGGCGACCGAGGTGGCGGGAGGAATGGAGGGACAAACATAGGAGGATGATGATGATGAGGAGGACAAATATGATGATGAGGAGGAGGCGGAGGAGGAAGAGGAGGAGGGGGATACGGGGGATGATGATGATGATCATGCTGATGATGATGAGGAGGAGGAGGAGGAGGAGGAGACGGAGACGGAGAAGAGGGATGATTATGATGATGATGATGCTGAGGAGGAGGAGGATGAGGAGGAGGAAGAGGAGGATGAGGAGGGGAAGACGGACGAGATGAGGAGGAAGAGGAGGCGGAAGACAACGGCGAAGACGAGGCGAAACTCACGGAAGACGAAGAACCTGACATTGGACGACACCATATTCCGTCAAGAAGAACGCGAGGAGGAAGATAAATATGAGGATGATGATGAGGAGAGACAACACACGAGGCGGACGAGGCGGCGATGGACCCTGGCGAGGACGATGTGGACTTCCGATTGATGCGGATCGAACGCTTCGAGTTGTGGCGGATCGAGGATGGGGTGGAGACTACGCACAACCTCCGTTTTTGAAGACGGATGGGGTGGCGGATGTGGGGGGTAGGCCAAAAGGGGTCGGTGGTTGAGGGGGGGCGGGGGCCGAGGGCGGCCGTGGACGTGCCGTTCCTCGGGGGGAAGGGGTCACGGTCGCCATTTGACACCCGCCCCTTCTCAACCCCCGAGCCCCCTGTATCACCCCTCCCACATCCGCCATATACTAGCAGTCTTCAAAAACGGATGTTAGTTTTCGCCCCATCTTCGATCCGCCGCAACTCGAGGCGTTCGATCCGCATCACTCGGAGGTCCGCATCTTCCTCGTCAGGGTCGATCGCCTCGTCCTTCTCGTGTTTTGTCTCCTCCTCCTTCTCATCTTTTTCTTTTTCCTCACTGACTCTCTCCTGCACTCCCTCTTCCTATAATCCTGCCTGTCTCATTCATTTTACTAGGTGGCATCGTCACCCCACGACCGCATGTGCGTGCATGCGCCATGTGTCCGTATATATGGACGCATGCGCGTTTAAGTACTGTGCGTAGGCATGCCCTACACGGTTGTGCTACGAACTGCGCGTCGAGTTCTGATCGTGGCAGCGATTGCGTGACAAATATGTTAACAACAAATAAAACTGTAATTTCGCATGTGTATATGAGAAACGCCAAGATAGATCTAACAGCATAAATAGATCTAGCCAACCCAGTTCTATTTAATAGATCTTCAGATCCTCAGGGAGCAACCTGGACCCTTTCCCCGGGACCGGTGCTTCGTCCTGCGCTGTTGTTTGGCGGCCCCGTGCTCAGCGGCGAGGGCCCACAAGGACCGAAAATTGTAGAATAACCTTCCGTCCTGATTCTCCCACGACGCGAGGGCGTCTCTTCCACGACGACCTGAGCCGTTTCTATTGACGGCCCCGAGGGCCCGGTGAAGGGCCCCCCAGGGGCCGAAGATCGCAAGAAACCTCCCGTCGTGACTTCGTCGTTGCCCGAGGGGGTCTGGGAGGGGAGGCGCTGGCCTTCGGGGCCGGGGGCCTCCTCCTCGAAGCTCGGAGGCAGGGCGCCCGCCGCAGGGGGGCACGGCCGGGGCCGGCGGGTGCCCACGGAGGAGAGAGCGATGAAGGGACAGAAGCAAAGAGGCGCGGTACTCAGGTCACGAGGCGGGGCCACCCTCGCCTCCTCCTCCTCCTCCTCCTCCTATCCCCCTCCTCCTCCTCCTCCTCCTCCTCCTCCTCCCCCCTCCTCCTCCTACTCATCCTGCTCCTCCTGCTCTCCTCCTCCTCCTCCTCCTCCCCCCTCCTCCCCATCCTCCTCCCCTCCTCCTCCTCCTCCTCCTCCCCTCCTCCTCCTCCCTCCTCCTCTCCTCCTCCTCCTCGTGTCCTCCTCCTCTCCGCCCCTCCTCCGCCCCCTCCTCCCCTCCCTCCCGCCCTCCCTCCTCCTCCTCTTCTTCTTCTTATTATATTATCCTTCTTCCTTCTTCTTCTCCTCCTCTATCCTCTTCCTCCTCCTCCTCCTCCCTCCTCCTCCTCTCCCTCCTCTCCTCCCTCCTCCTCCTCCTCCCTCCTCCTCCCCTTCCCCCCCTCCCCCTCCTCCGCCTCCTCCTCCTCCTCCTCCTCCCCGTCCTCCTCCTGCTCCTTCCCCTCCCCGGGCCCTGGCCTGCCGACCACGGCAGGGTGTGCCAGGTGGACCTGCGTGCTCCGATGGGGGTCGGAGGGCGGGAGGAGGAGGGCGGCGGCAGGCCTAGCCCGCGACCCGCAGCTCACAACACCCCCGACGCTGATGGGCTCGTCATCCTCCCCCGCCGCCTCCCCCGAAAGGGGAGGAGGAGGAGGGAAAGAGGAGGAGGAGGAGGAGGAGGAGGAGGAGGAGGAGGAGGAGGAGGAGGAGGAGGAGGAGCGGGTGACCCCGACCCCCCCCCGGTGGTGCCTCCCACTGATGGGCACTGATGGCCTCCCGAGTCGCGCGCAATGCTTGGGGAGATGTAAGACTCGGGTACGGGGGACTCGGGTTGGCCTGACGGGGATATCATACAAATGACGAGACCCAATCTGAAATTTGACGAGAGCTCCCGCTGCAAACATCCCACAGAAACTGGACCGTCAAAATCCAGGACGCGCTCGTCAAAACACGTCGGCAGACCCGAGTTCCGGCTTACTCGAGTCTTACGTTTCCCCTCGTTCTTCCTTCCTCTGTCCTCCTCCTCCTCCTCCTCCTCCTCCACCGTCTGCCCTCCTCCTCGTCCTCCTCCTGTCCTCCTCTGTCCTCTGTCCTCCTCCTCGTCCTCCTCCCTCTGTCCTCCTCCTCGTCCTCATCCTTCCTCTGTCCTCCTCCTCCCCCTCGTGTTTCCTCCCTGTGTCCTTCTCGCCATCGCCGTCCCCTCCTCCTCCCACCCCCTCCTCCTCGTGGACGCACCCCCCATGAGCCTCTCGAGACCCCTTCGGCGGCCTCGGGGGGCTGCCGACGAACCCGTCGAAGACCCGTCGAAAACCCTCATACTGGGCGCGTCCGAGGCCGCCCCATGCGCACCCGACGACGACGACGACGACGACGACGACGACGACGACGACGACGACGACGACGGCGACGGAGGCTCCCAGAAATCAGGTCTTTGGGGGCGCCGATCGGCTAGCCTTCAGAAGTCCGGGCGCGGCCAGCACCGTCGAACCTGGACATGGACCCTCCGACCCTCGAGCCCTCGATCCTCGAACACATCGATCCTCGAACCCATCGATCCTCGAAAGCATCGATCCTCGAGCCCTCGATCCTGGAACCCTCGATCCTCGAACCCTGGACATAGTTATACCCCCGATCCTCGAACCCTCGATCATCGAACGCTCGATCCTCGAACCCTCGATCCTCGAAAACATCGATCCTGGACCCTGGCGCCCAAAGCCTAGACGGCGGCGGGAAGCTACAGCTGCCGTGCCGCGCGGCGGTCTGCCGCCGTTGCGACCCCGGGCTTGAGAGATCGGAGCTTTCTGCAAATTGTTGGCCGATTCTGGAACTCCTCTGTCGTCGTCTGACGCGAAAGCAGCATGAATAGAAATCCGGACGGATAAGTTAACCTACGTAATATGGACAGAAACAGATCTACACATCTAAACATAAACCACATCTCGGGTACTAAGAAAGCTGGCGGGTCTCGCCTCGGCCGCTTCGGAGCTCTCCGGAACGCTTTGAGAACTCACGAGCGGCAACTGTATCCATACCCACGCCCTCGCGGTCCCGATTCCGGGGCGTGATCCTCCGCAGCCCATGGATACGTTACGCTTAGGTCGGGCACGTCCCCTACATACGGATTTTGGACGAAATATTAAAAATACACCAAACATTGTCAAACATAATCGGCACATATTCAACAAATCGTCCCCGTATCATTTTTTGTTGACTATTTTTGGAAGTTCCCTCGTGTAGAGGGACAGGCCCGACTTAAGGATACGTTACGCGTTGGGCATCCGCAAAGAAACGCCCCGCATCCGCGGGGTCGCGACACAGCGACCCGAGGCCGTGGACATGGATGTTTTTCCCAGAGACCGCCCCCGCCCAGGCAGGGAGATGCCGATTCCTGGAACCCGCTCGCCACAGGGACCCAGCCGCCCCAACCGCCCCAGGGATCCCAGCCTTGAGATGGCGATTGGCGTGTTTTCCACCAGCACCACCACTATAAGTTGGAGGTGGGAAGGAGGAGGAGGACAAGGAGGAGGAGGAGGACAAAAAGGAGGAGTGGAGGAGGAGGAGGAGGAGGAGGAGGAGGTGGAGCAGGAGGAGGGCGAGGAGGAGGAGGAGCATCCCCTCTCCCTCCAACTTCTGGTGTTGGTGGTGGAAAGCAGGCCCATCGGATGGCGTCTCTTGATTCATGGACGCCATCGTGATCCACCTCTTTGAAATGCCTATGGCAAGGCAGGCGACTATCAATTCTTGGCCCGTTGGCAACATGAACGCACGGGGCCCTAAAATACGAGCAGGCGGCCGCGGCGGCGGACGGCGGCGAAACGTGGGCGGATTGGGGCGCATCGGCACAAAGTCGAGATCGAAACGGATCGGCCGCATCAGGATGCACGACAGCACCATCCAAGCGTCGGGCTGCAGCGGATCGTCGAAACGTCGACACTGGATCGGATCGATCGAAAGGGGCTCTGCACAAAAGGGGCTCGACCGAAAGGGGCTCGATCGAGCCAAGATGGATTTGCTCGATCGAAAGGGGCTCTGCGCAAAAGGGGCTCGACCGAAAGGGGCTCGATCGAAAGGGGCTCGATCGAAAGGTGCTCTGGCCGAGGACCAGATGGACTTGATCGAAAGGGGCTCTGCGCGGGCGGCCGCGGCTGCGGCGGCGGCGCAGGCGGCCGCGGCGGCGCCGGCGACAACGACGTCATGCCCGCGACTCGGGTCAGAACGTGTACCAGGTGCCCACGGCCGTCGCTACGTCAGAACCTCCAGAAGCGCCCGAAGACCTCCAAGACGACGGTGGCGACGGCGGCGGCGGCGAAGGCGGCGGCGGCGGCGAATGGCAGCCTCGGCGGCGACGAAGGCGCCAGGCGACGGCTACCTCGGCGGCGACGAATGGCGGCGGCGACGGCGGCCGCGGCGGCGGCGAAGGCGATCGCGGCGGCGGTCCGCCGTCGACACGTTGTCGCGACAACGGCCGCTGGCGTCAGCGGCCTTCCGGCGCTGCCCAGCCGTGTCGCCGCACGCGGAGCCGGCTGCTCTGCGCGCCTGCAGCAGCTCCGCCTCGCGGGCGGGCGAAGCCGCGGGAGCTTCGGAAGCTGTTCGGGCCGTCGGGGGGCGCCGGCCCCGCAGCGTCGGACGTTTTCGGCGGCGTTCCGTGGCGGCGTTCCCTGGTTCTCGGGAGATCGGGGCAGGTTTCGCGGGGCCAAGAAGTCTCACAGGTGTTCGTTGAGTCTTGAACGTGTTCTCGCCTCAGAATGCTTTCCAGCAGCTGCGAGAGCGTTCTGGGGGTGCGTGGCTCGTCCCGAACGGCCGCTGGAGGCCGAGATATGAACAGATAACCGCGCGGCTCAGACTGATAAGACGAAGCCAAGACGAAGGTAACATCGGACCGAGATAAATCGCAAACCTCTGAGAAATACGGGCTTCGAAAATGTTTTGGGCGCCGCGGCCGTTCCAGAGCGCTCGAGAACGCTCTGAGGGCGTTCCTGATTGTCTGGCGCGATTGCTCGTTGATTTCGGCCTGCCCGGCGGACCCTGTCGTGCCATGAAAAATCGCACTGGAGGGTTTGGAGGGCGGTCTTCAGCTCCTAGGCGGCACTTGCCGGGGCCCAGGGCTGTCCCCACAGAACGACCTGGAATGAGGGCTGTCCCAACAGAACGACCTGGAATGAAAAGCTGGTCTTGGGGAAGGGGTCGAGACATCTGGGGGCTCACAACCAGCGAAGCGTGCCCAGGAACGGCGGGGTGTTTGGACGTTTTTCGCGTTCTGAAGTTTGCTAGTTTTCGCCATTTTGGAAGGAATGCCTCGCCGGCCTGGATGGACGCGGGAAGCACAAATTATGTCATCGGATATTCCAACACAAGGGGATGTTGAGGGCTTCCCGGGATCGGGGCATAATAATTGCAATATTGATGGACGGCCCATCGCAAGAGTGTGTATGCATGGAAGGGCAGACGAAGGCAGGGAGGGGAAACAGCTGGGAGGAAGAAGACGGCTGTTCAGAAAGCTTTCCCGTCCATCTTCGAATCCCACGCTCAAGTGTTATTGGTTAAAGGATGGGGAGCTCTTATACGCGTTTTCCCGTTTGAAGGTTGCCCCCCACACACACACACACACACACACACACACACACACACACACACACACACACACACACACACACACACACACACACACACACACACACACACACACACGCCATCCCTGGCCTCTTCCCTGGGTTTGGAAGTGGTCCCTGTGAGCGATGCGAGGGCAGAATATGGCCAAACGTAGCTCGAAGAGAATCCAAGATTGCTCCGCATGGCCTCAAGAATGGTGCAAGGTAGGTCAGCTTGCTTGAATATGGCCTCCACGCGCTTCGGAAGTCCTCAGCCGTCGCCCGAAGATGGCTGTGTTTCTGTGTTGCCTGGGCAGCTCTTAGAAGCAGTCTCTGCAGCGTGCTGGAGCCTCTGTGGGCTGCGCCTCAGTGGGCAGCGTTGTGAGGCCTCGGTGGGCGCGCTTGGGGTCTCTGTGGGCAGCTTGCTGGGACCTCTGTGGGCAAGCTTGGGGTCCCTGCGGGCTGTGTGGCGGCAGTGGGCAGCGTGCTGGGACCTCTTTGGGTGGGTCTGGGGTATCTGGTTTCTGTGTATGGGGCCTCGGCGTCCCTGGAGGAGAAGGAGGGCAGGAAACCTGAGCAATAGGTATGCCGATGCCCTGCCGCGATCTGGCGGAGCCTCCCTGGAGCGGCGGCAGGGGCAAGAAACCTAAACGAAACTGTGCACATGGCATGGTGTGCGAATGCCCTGCTCGCTCTGGCGGAACCTCCCTCGAGGAACGGGAGAGGAACGAAACCGCGTAAGTAGTATGGTGTGCGAGTGCCCTGCTCGCTCTGGCAGGGCCTCCCTGAATGCGATGGGGGGGAAGCGAAACCTTGCAAATAGCGTTGGGTACGAATGCCCTGCTCGCTTTGGGGGGCCTCCCTAATCCGCCGACCCCTTGTGGGTCTCTAGGCGTGTGAGATAGTTCCCCCCCCCCATACCCCCCCCAAGGGACCCCAAACCGGAAATTTGACCCCCCCCTCGCCCCGGACGAGCGCACCACGAAGCTTTTCCGGGCCCAAGAGGGCCTCAAGACGGGCCTAGAAAGCCCCAAGAGGCCTCCAAAACGGCCCACGAGGGCCCCGAGACGCTAAACGAGCGCTCCAAGACGCCCTAGCTGACCCAAAGATGGGCTCAGAGGCCTCCAAGACGGTCCAAGAGGTCCCCAAGAGGCCCCAAGAGGCCTCCAAGCTGCGTTCCAAGAGGGTCCCTAGACGCAAAAATTTGCCCATTCCCTTCGTAAAACATACAACTGTCATACATTCGCCTTCTGGGCTTTCCGATGCTCTCAGACGGCCCAAGAGGACCCCAATACCGCCCCAAGACGGCCCAAGAAGCCTCCAAGAGGGCCCCAAGATAGCCCAAGCGGGCCCCCAGACAGCCCAAGAGGCGTCCAAGACGGCCCAAGAGGGCCCCGAAGACGGCCCCAAGAGCGCTCCAGGAGCGCTCCAAGTCGCCTCCCAGAGAGTTCGATATGGTCCCAGGCGGTCCAAGAGCGATCAAGGACACCGAAGATGGCCTCCAGCGGTCCAAGATGCCCCCAAGAAGCCCCAAGAGGCATCCAAGATACGTCCCAAGAGGGCCTCTAACCGCAAACATTGGCCCGTTTCCTTTGTGAAACGTAGGTGTTTCACAAATTCGTCTTGTGGGCTTTCCGACGCTCCCAGACGGCCCCAGAGGCCCCCAAGACCGCCCCAAGACGGTCCAAGACGCCTCCAAGAGGGCCCCAAGACAGCCCAAGAGGGGCCCAAGACGGCTCCAGAGGCTGAAGACGGCCCAAGAGAGCCCTGGAGACCGCCCCAAGAGCGCTCCAAGAGCGCTCCAACTGGCTTCCAAGAGAGCTCCACATGGTCCCAGACGGTCCAAAAGCGATCAAAGACACCCGAGATGGCCTCCAGATGACCCAAGACGCCCCCAAGAGGCCTCCAAGGTGCGTCCCAAGAGGGTCCCTAGACGCAAACATTGGCTCATCTCCTTCGTAAAACGTAGATGTTTTTACATATTCGCCGTGTGGGCTTTCCGACGCTCCAAGACGGCCCAGGAGGCCCCGAAGACCGCCCCAAGACCGCCCAAGAGGCGACCCCAAGACGGCCCAAACCCAAGATGGCCTCAAGACGGCCCAAGAGGCCCCCAAGACGGCCCCAGAGGACTCCAAGACAGCACCATGAAGAGCCCCAGAGGGCCACAAAAACTCTACAAAATCTAGCTTTCCGCCCCCAGGAACTCCCAGGGGCACCAAAAAAAGCACCCCTAGGGGGCCCAAAAAGGCCCCAAGACGGCCCACGAGGACGCCAAAGCAGCCCAAGAAGAGCCCAAAGAAGCCCAAGAGAGCTCGAAGACGAGCCCAGGAGTAGCCCGAACAGCCCCAAATATGCCCCCCTCAGGCCCCGAAGAGCTCCCAAGAAACCCGACAAGAACCCCAAAACGACCGCCAAACGGTTTCGAACCATCTGATGATTGACTTCAATTAAGGGGTCGGCGGATGTGGCGCAAGCCTGCAGAATAGCGTTGGGTACGAATGCCCTGCTCGCTTTGGCGGGGCCTCCCTGGAGGGAGTAGTGGTCGTAGTGGTGGTCGTAGGAGGAGGAGGAGGAGGAGGAGGAGAAGGAGGAGGAGAAGGAGGAGAAGGAGGAGAGGGGGGAGGAGGAGGAGAAGGAGGAGGAGGAGAAGGAGGGGGAGGAGGAGAAGGAGAAGAAGGAGGGAGGAGGAGAGGGTGTTCCAGGAACACAAAAAAAACACAACCAGGATGTGGGGAGCCAGGCGAGCGCTCGGATGGGCCCAGGGAAGAGTCCTTGGGCGGCATTCGGGTCGCAGTCTGCTCGAGGGGGGCGGCCTTCTACCGACGGGCGCCGCCTCTCATGGGCCGCAATCCTTCGGAGAGAGACCATCTGAGAACGGAGAGGGCGGCGGATGAGGATGAGGATGAGGATGAGGATGTTGATGTTGATGATGCTGATGCTGATGCTGATGCTGCTGCTACTGCTGCTGCTGCTGATGATGATGATGATGATGATGATGAGGAGGAGGAGGAGGAGGATGAGGATGAGGATGAGGATGAGGATGAGGAGGAGGAGGAGGGGGAGGAGGAGGAGGAGGAGGAGGAGGAGGAGGAGGAGGAGGAGGAGAAGGAGGGGGAGGGGAGGAGGAGGAGGAGGAGGAGAAGGAGGAGGAGGAGGAGGAGGAGGGAGGAGGAGGAGGAGGAGGAGGAGGAGGAGATTGACCCCGAGACATCTGTTTCATCCGGTGTAGCTCTTCGACGGTCCCGGGGCCAGGAGACTGCCTTCGGAGGCCCATGGCTACCAGGACCCGCCGTCGCGCGGCAGTTTCTCCTGTGGCGACGCGCTCCGAGGGCTCATCCATGCTGCCCTGCACCCCCCGCCGCCCAGGTGGGCGGGAGTGAGCCCAGAGGAGGAGAAGGAGGAGGTTGAGCAGGAGGAGGAGGAGGAGGAGGAGAAGGAGGAGGATGAGGAGAAGGAGGAGGAGAAGAGGGAGGAGGAAGAGGAGGAGGAGGAGGAGGAGGAGGAGGAGGAGGAGGAGGAGGAGGAGGCTGCCATAAGAAGCCTGCGGGCTCGCCTGCCGTCGGGCCCTCAGGCGCCCAGGGTGCCCAAGGGCCTCTGTGGGCCCACGGGGCCATCAAAAGGTAAGACACCTCCGCTGGCCGACAACGCGTGGTAACGTTCAGTCGGGCACGTCCCTCTACAGGACGAGTAGTCAATTATAGTCAAACAGATAGTATGAGGATGTTTGCTTAGACCATGTTTAAGCATCTTCGAATACGTAGCACCCCGCAACTGCGGATAAGAGTGAGGAGGGACCGGGAGGAGAGGGTGGAAATGAACACGGGGGAGTGGCGGAATCGACCTCCACGCGCGCTCCCCTGGCGCGCCCTCCCGACGCGCCCTCCCGGCGCGCCCTCCCCGCGCGCCCTCCCCGCGCGCCCTCCCGGCGCGCCCTCCCCGCGCGCTTTCCCCGCGCGCCCTCCCGGCGCGCCCTCCCGGCGCGCCCTCCCCGCGCGCCCTCCCCGCGCGCCCTCCCCGCGCACGGCCTCCTCTGGCCACGCGCGCACAGGGACAGAGAATGACCGTTCGGCCCTCCTCACTCTGATGTTGGGAATTGTTTTATTCTTCGTCCAAAATCCGCCTGTAGGGGGACACGCCCCGCCCAGAATCTCGAGGCGAATCCAGCGGTCGTGACGAAGTCCTCCCAGGAGGTCCACGAAGGCGGAAAACGAGACACGGGTAGCAGTAGCAGCGCCTCTCCCTCCCTTGACGCACCTATACCGTATTGGTGTCCCTGACGAACACCCGCGCTGCGGCCGTCACCGCGTCGGCTCGACACGAATTATTCATCTCCGGGGGTGCGTTCCGAACAGTATCGATGCGAATCCAGCCAGGATGGCGAAGGCCTCCCAGAACCTGTCGTATCGGCATCTCTGCCGAACGCGCGCGCGCGCGCTGGGGCTGTCAATGCGTGGACAGTGGCCAGAGAGCGTCGGCCGCCGACCCCGCGGCGCGGGCGGGCCTCGCCGTGGGCGAAGTCGCACTTGTCGCGCTTCGAGCAGCGCCCGTGCAGGTGGTACTGGCACAGCTTCGTGCGGTGGAACCTCTAGCGCCGGCTGCACGCATGAAGCCAAGCAGGCTCAGCACGGAACCGGCTCAGCCAATCTGGAACAAGGGTGCGCTGCAATGCTTCGGGGGCTTCCCAGACCGCGGCTCAGCAGATCTGTGAGGCCACCTGCAGGGCCGCCGGCGGCTCCCGAATCCGGCTCTGCAGGATCCAAGATGCGGCGCTCTGGCTGAGCCCGACTTGTGCTGAACCCCGCTACCTGCTGGCGGAAGAACGACCTTTGGTCAACGGCTTGCCGATCGTTCCACGGCATGCGGCAGTGGCGGCCTACGCACCTTGGCTTGCCCCACCCCCCCCAGAGCCACGCACCAAAGGCCGCTCTCTGGCGAAGGGTCACCTCTTGCGTGTGCAGCCGATGGCGGCCGGGCGGGCGTCGGGTTCCCCCCCCCGTGGCGTCTGCGGGGCCCGAGGCTCGTGGGCGCCGCTCGCCGCACTGCCTCGCCGTCGCCGCGGCCGGCGGTCCCTCGAACGCGCGACCCGCGACGATCTTCGAGACCTCGCACCGCCGCCCTGGAGAAAAAGCAGCTCTCCGGCCCGGGCCGCCACGCGCGAAGCGCGATTCCCTTCGCGCACCTGGGGGGTGACCTGGAGGAGGAGGAGGAGGAGGAGGAGGAGGAGGAGGAGGAGGAGGAGGAGGAGGAGGAGGAGGAGGAGGAGGAGGAGGAGGAGGAGGAGGAGGAGGAGGAGGAGGAGGAGGAGGAGGAGGAGGAGGAGGAGGAGGAGGAGGGGGGGGGCCTCATGGCGCGCCCCATGGGAGGTCTGGGGGTGGTCGCTGCTTCGGGGGGTCGGGGCGCAGGCCTGGCCCTCCTCACCATGGGGGGCAGACAGCTGCGGGCATCGCAGGCATGCGGATCCCCGCACCAAGCACAAATTGTCTGCTTCTCTCAACCTCCTGGAACGCCCTCGCCGCCACTGCCACGGGTGGGTTCCACCCCACGGGAACTCGGGTCAGAACGGCCCCCCCCGACACCATACAGGTGTGTGTGGGTGTGTTTGTGTGTGTGTGTGAATGTGTGTGTGTGTGTGTGTGTGTGTCTGTGTGTGTGCGTGCGTGCGTGCGTGCGTGCGTGCGTGCGTGCGTGCGTGCGTGCGTGTGTTCGTGTGTGTGTATGTGTGTGGATGTGTGTGTGTGTGTGCGTGTGGATGTGTGTGTGTGTGTGTTGTGTGTTGTGTTGTGGTGTGTTGTGTTGTGTTGTATTGTGTCGTGTCGTGTCGTGTCGTGTCGTGCGTGCGGTGCGGTGCGGTGCGGTGCGGTGCGGTGTGGTGCGGTGCGGTGTGGTGTGGTGTGGTGTGCGTGTGTGTGGGGGCGGCTCTTGTGCGCCAAGACCATGAACAAAAACAGGACGTACGCGTGATGCCATGCTCGGTGTCTCAAGGCCGGGGTTCTGGCCCCCACCGCGGTCATAGCACATATACTAGTCTTATGGGGACGGCGTGCCGAAGAATGCCGACATCTGACGTTCGACACCCTGCCATATCTGGGTGTCAAGAACGAACACGCACACACACACGAACAAGAACACACGCAAAACACATCTTAACGTCTTCTGCCACGCTGCGGTCCCATGTGCGGGCCATGACAAAACGACCCCGTTGGACAATCTGACGTCGTCGGGAGCTACGGTCGTAATGATTACACGACGCTACATGTCTGTAGTCTTCGAGCGCCGTGAATGAGCAACATGCTATATGCGACGGCGCCAAGGTGGCAATTCTCGAGCCCTGTGACACCGCGGCCAAACGCCGATGATAGGGATGGGGGGCCAACGCCACGGAACAACCAAGATGAATGATGTTGGGGGCCCACGCCCCCCGTGTTGTCCTTGTCCTTCCATGAGCGGGCCCTCAGAACGCTCGACGCCATCATTTGCTTAGGTTCTGCGCCGCGGGCTCGCGGGTGGCCGAAACGGCCTCCAGCTTGCCAAGATCAGGAGCATCGCCGTGTGGATGTTGCTCCAGGCGCTGGGCCTATTGGACGGGACTGCGACCCCTCCGACTGCAGGGGGGCAGCGGGCTTTTTGACGGGGGTGTGGCCCACGCCAGGCCCCCCCCCCCGACGCTCCTGCCGCCGAGATAGCAGCACACACACACACATATACACACACACGCACGCACGCACAAACACACACCAACACGCACACGCACACACACACACATTCACACATTCACACACACGCACGCACGCCCGTCTCGAAATTTTATTGAGGCACGCAGAGGTGAACAGAACTATATAAACCTAAAATGTTGGAGCTCCGCGCGGATTTCTTGCATCCACGCTGGGCCCCTCTCCCTGGCGAGCTTTTTTTTGTAAATTCGCAGCGATCGAGGCGTTATACAAAGAGGGGGGGGTTGGGGGGGGGCGGGTGGTGGAAGGGGGGGGGCACGGCGTGCAGACCCTCCCCGACGTTTGGGTCCGGCACTACGGACTGTGGTGCTGGACGGTGCCACTCGTGGGGGGGGGAATGCTACGTTGTGGGGGGAGGGAGGGTGGAGAGGGAGCATGACGCCCGTCATGACCCAAGGTGTGAAGAAACACTTTCGTGGCGAGTGGAATGCACAAAGGGGCCTAACGCCGATCCAGGAAATCCGCGGGGAACTCCGAACGTTTATGTTCATGCAATGTTTTTGCTTCGTCGCACGCGGAAATTAAGGTTTGCCCGCCGCCACCGGAACCTGGTCTTCCTCTCCAGGTTGTCCTTCCTCTCCGGCTTGGCCTCGCGGGGTGGGTAGAACATGCATCCACAGCCACGCCGCGTCCCTTGCAGATCGGGACCGCCTGCGCGTGAACGAGACTAGAACATCGAAGATGACGCCCCCACGCCCTTGTGTGGTTCTCCATGCTCTCGCTAGGCGGGGTGCCGTATGGCGACGCCATGAGTACGGATCCAACTGAGCAGGTATTGGGCACTGACGTCTGCCAGTAGCTCGTCGACAACACGTCTCTACAACCAGCAGGGCGACCGCATCTAGAACATTGCCACGCGGACACTAAACCCCCCCCCGTCGGAACACTAACTCGCTTCACAGCAGCCAAATACTGCTCCACCAGATTCTGAGAAAACCATCATACGGCGGCCCTCCACCCGGCCGGAGGAGGAGGAGGAGGAGGAGGAGGAGGAGGAGGAGGAGGCAAAATCATACAAAATCGGTCCCAGAACCCGTCCTGGGGCCCAAGCGCCCCAGTTTTCCGAACGGCGCTCTGCCGTGGCGACGAGGGGCCCACCGAAAGCCAGAAGTCAGCTTCCGCAACCAGCCGACCTGGGCCGCTGGCGACCCCTGCGGCCACGACCGCCGGGAACCATGCGCGGCTTTGGCGGCAGAGCCGCAGGTGCAGGCCCAATGTGTTCTGTCGGGGAGACGTAAGACCCGGGTACGGGGGACTCGGAAATCCCCGACGAGGTCGTCAAAAAAATGACGAGGCCGAGCCTGCATTTTGACGAGGCCTCCCGCTGCAGACATCCCACGAAACTCCTCCTCGTCAAAATCCGAGTCGCGGTCGTCAAAAAACGATGGCGAACCCGAGTCCCGGCAAACCCGGGTCTTACGCTCCCCCGATTCTGGGGGGGAGAAGGAGGAAAGCTGAGGGGGAAGACAGTGCGACGAGCACCCAAAGTGAAACTGAAGTGAAGCTCAGCACCAACGTCAGTCCACTCAGGCTTGACAGAAGCGTCAAAATCCAGCGTCGCGGCATAAATCCAGCATCGTGCAAAATCGAGGCTGGAACCATAGACCCCATCCTTCTGCGTCATTGCCTCGAGCCGGATCGATCGGTGAGGGTCCCCGGGCCCGAAATGGGGCGGACACGCCAAGTGTGACGAAAGTGCGACGACAGGACCTCGAGGAGGGTCTCGCCGCGGCCACGGCGACGGCGACGGCGACTGGCGGCGGCAGCAGCGCCACCAAGGCGAGGCCTCCTCGACCCGGCCGCCGCCCTGCGGAGGCGTCGCCGGGCCGGCCTGACGGGGAGCGAGGTGACCGACTCCAGACACCCTGTGCCCAAAATTGTGGACGCCTCCTGAAATCCTAGCGTCGCACCTGGTTCCGCGCCGGGCGACCTCGCCCCATGTCGGCCACCATGGACCCTCACGGGTCGGTCCGGCTCGAGGAGTGCCGCGGAAAGATGGGGTCTGGGGCTTCGGCTTTGGTCCCAGACATGCGACGTCCTGATTGTTTCAGGACGGCGTCCCTGGAAATACCGACCCTTTCCCTGGGACCGGTTTTTCCTCCTGAGTCGTCTTTTGACGGTCCCGAGGCCCAGCGAGGGCCCCCAAGGGCCGAAAATAATGAAAAACTTGCCGTCCTGATTGTTTTTAACGACGCGATCATGTCTGGGGCTTCTTCAGGTCGGTGGAACATGCTCGCGACGCCGGATCTCAGGGCCTCGCTGTTCCGCCGCCCTGCGCCGAGCTTCCGCCCGCTTCCGCCCGCGGGCCCGCCGCGGCGTTCTGCTTCCGCAGGCTCCCGCCCGGGGCGAGGATGCGCCGAAGCCAGGGGCCCTGCCTGGAACACCTTGTAACATCCGGGGGCGCGCAGACACGGACTAGCGCTCCATGGATGTGGCGCGCGGTCACCAAGTCCATGGATCGGGGGCGGTGCCCTCCCCAAAATGCGGCCCGTGCCGCCTCCTTCGGCGGCGGAAAGCCGCGACTTCCCATGGAAATGGGGCCCGTCGCTAATCCACGCCCCCTTATAATCCATGTTTGCGATCGCCTGAAATATGGAGGGCTTGGCTGCGGGGCGGAAGCATGGAATTGGAAACGGGCATACGTCGCCGACAGATCAGCGATAGGCCGCTGATCCGTCGGCGAAGCCGTGCGCTCCTGGGCAGAAAGGGGGTGCGGGCCCCGGTGGTGAGGAGCGGGCGCCGATGGGGAGCCGATGATCCCCCCCCCCCAGGCCTCGGTGGTGAGGAGTGGGCGATGGGGAGTCGATGCTACCCCTCCCCCCTGGGCCAGTTCCCCGTGTCGGCGCCCTGGAGTGCAATCCAACGGGGAACCTTCGCCATGATGATCTGCATCTCTGGCTTGCGGGTCCAAAAAGCTCTGGTCGCTGGCAGCCCATTCGGGAGACGATTGCCGCGCACCCCTGGCACGCTCCCGGCGAGGCGCAGCTGCTGGAAAAAACACGCCGAGGCGATGTGAGCAGCTGTTGGAAAGTGCACCAGAACCACAGGGAGCGCCCGAAACGCCCCGAGACCTTCCGAAAAAATTGAGACCAGGGCCGACGAGGCCATCCTAAGAAATCGTTGCCCCGTGACGGCGGCGGCGCCACCTCTGGGTCAACGTAAATCGGCAGGGGGGCTCCAGGACAGCGGCGAGTGCCCAGGGTAAAACTGCCGCCGTGGGCCGGAGCACTCTCCAGTCTTCGGAGGGGCAACGGGATGATATGGGGGGACTGGCATAGGGTTAGGTCGGGCATGTCCCCCCTACCGGCGGATCTTCGACGAAGAATAGAACATGGCCAAACAATATGCAAACATGATATAACAAAAAATCGCCCGACTTTTTGTTACACTATTTCTGATGTTTCTTCCTGTGGAGGGACATGCCCGACTTAAGCGTAGAGGGGGGGGGGCCTGACCTGGAATCGGCGACACATCGCCGATACACCGGCGGCGGGGCCCCGGTAGTACATCCGCACTTTCCCGGGCACGCTGGGGCCGCTGGGCCCCCCTCGGCGATCCACGGGCGACTGGGGGCCGGTGCTTCCCCCCCGATGCCTACAGTGGAGGCCAGCCCACAAGAAACCTTCCACAAGAAACCCAACCCTGAGACCCCAGGGCGTCCATGGATCTTTGGTATGGGAACGCCACGCTTATTCCCATGGCAGAGCCATCGAAGCCCAAGAAACCCAGGGCACCTGGGAGGCAAGCAGGGTGTTTCTTGGCATGGGCCCCCACTGCATCTCCCCTCTGCCTATCCCCCCCCCCCCAGACCTCCAACGCATTGACAAACATCAAGACGAAGGTTTCTCTCGATTTGCGGCCTCTAGCGGCCCTCGCCGGGCCTCGGGACCGTCAAGAAACGACTCAGGGTGCAAAACCGGTCCTAGGGAATGGGTCGGAACTTCCGGGGACCCCGCATTGACAAAATCATGATTTTGGATCTCTGGGCCTCTCGTTGACCCTGCTCTTCTTCCTCTCCACCTGGACCATGTTTGGCTATTGCTGGCCATGTTTGGCTTATTCTTACATTATTGCTGGGCTATCTTTGAATATCCGTCCTGTCGAGGGGCATGCCCGACTTGATGAGCCTGTTTTCCCTCACCACCACCACCATAATTTGGAGGGGGAAGGAGGAGGAGGAGGAGGAGGAGGAGGAAGAGGAGGAGGAGGAGGAAGAAAACAGGCCCACCACGACTTAATGCTTCTCCCCCCCATGCCTGTCCCCCCCCCCCCCTCGTTGCCCCTGATCTTCGCCCTCTCCAGCTGGGATGGCCGCACAAGCCCTGGCCTGCAGACTTCCGACGCTCGCCCCGAACGCCCCCTCCCGCCGACCAGCGCTTCCACCGGCAGGCCGCGATCCCGGCCCGCCCGCCCGGCCCCCCGAGAGATCCGACGTCGTGATCTTTCTCATGCCCTCCTCATCCCGCCCCCTCCCCCTTCCACCCTCCCTCGCCCATGCCCCTCCCTCCTCCGTCCCCTCCCCCCTCCGCCGTTCCCGCCCCCATTCCTCCCCTCTTCCTCCGTGGCCCCTCGGCCCACTCCCCAAGACCAGTTTTTCACCCCGGGTCGTAGAAAACATCGGGGAAAACTCTCCGTCTTGACTTTTCCCATGCGCTGGAGGTCTGGGCCCCTGCCACGGAGGTGTAGCCCTCCGCTCCGGCCCGCCATGAGCATCCCGCGCTCGGGCTCGGCAAAAAAAAGGCCAGGATTGGGTCGGGCCTGTCCTCCTACAGGGGGAGGTTGGACGAAAAAGAAGAGCAGTCAAAAAATGCCCCGAGATGGCCAACAAAAATGCTCAAAGAATCGTCCCCCCCACACTAATTTGGGGCTACTTTTGAATACTCCTCCTGCATAGGGACAAGCTCGACTTAAACCTTCGCCCCGGCCCGCCATGGGATCCCGCGCGCGAGCTCGGCGAAAAAGGCCAGGATTACGGTGCTCCAAAGTACTTTAGCCTTGATCGCCAAAGGGAATTTCGAGCACCAGGACAGTACCGAAATTGGACGGCTTCCACGTGTCGGGCCCTGGGAGGCGATGCTCGTTCGACACTGTTTCGATATTTCTTCGGGCGACCGAAACTATTTGGGATTTGGCCCTGTAGTACGATAGGAGCAGCGTAAGGCAGGATTGAACAAGAATCCGACCGCAGGGCGCCTAAGCTCCCTGAACTCCGACGCTGCGGAAAAACACGTTCAGTTCGACATCGCGAGAAGTCCCGAGCGGAGCCGTGGACCACATTTTTGGGACACCCGCAGTGGATGCGGAACATAGGGGCACGATGCCCCACAACAGAGGTTGCTCAAAACCGACAGCGGCTGCTGCTGTTGTGCTGGCAACTCTTGCTACAAATGGACGGCGTCCGCGGCGACACCGACAGGAGAATCATCTTTCCAATGAACAGGAACTGCGGTTGGTCTTTGTACTCGGTCTTTATGTACGCACCGTTTCCGATCGTACTGACATCTATCTGCGGCATTCTTCGAGCTGGATCGATCTGTCATGGTCCCAGGGCCCGGGCAAAATCGCCTGTCGCGACGAAAATTCCACCGCACGGATCTCAAGGCCCTCCCCGATGCCGGTCCTTCCCGGACCTCTCCTGGGGTGCGTTATGACTCTAATTCCGAGGCGAATCCAGCCGTGGCGACGAGGGCCTTCCATCAGGCCCAAAACAGCGAAGACGAGGGAACGAGAGCGATATCCTTCTCACTTCCTCTTTTGCGAAACGCTTGCGTGACTAAATGCGACGCCAAGATCTCCAAGGCTTCTAGGGCCATCCCCGCCACCGCCGGGCCGCTGGCCGGCGTGCCGCTCGTCGCTGCCCCCTGGTTTCGAGTATTCGAGTAACGCCCTCGGCGAGGCGCAGCCTCTGGAAGGCATCCCGCGGCTTGGACGCCGCCGAGAACCACCGACAATGCCCCAAAACCTCTGCAGCCTCGAACCGCTGCCTCTCCCGCTGACTTAGAGGCTTCCTAGATGGGCTCCGAGTGGACAGGGGCGGAGAATCGCGCCGCATCGCCAATGCATCACCAACACATCGCCAACGCATCGGCAAATCGGCGATACTTCGGCGACGTCGGCGTTGCATCAGCGCCATCGGCGTGGGGAAACTCTGGCTCTACATCGAGCCGCATCGTCGATGCATCGGCGAGGCGGAACGGTCCTGCGACGTCGTCTACCCAGACCCCCGGGGTCCAAAGGCACCAGTTTCCAGAGCTGCGCCCAGACGTGGCGACGAGCTGGCCCTCGAAGTCCTCGTCGTCCTCGTCGTCGTCCTCGTCGTCGTCCTCGTCCTCGTCCTCGTCGTCGTCGTCGTCATCGTCTTCGACCTCGTCGTCCTCGTCGGCCTCCTCGCCCTCGTCGCCTCCGTCGTCGTCGTCCTCCTCCTCGCCCTCGTCGTCGTCCTCGTCGTCGTCCTCCTCGTCGTCGTCCTCGTCGTCGCCCTCGTCGTCTCCGGGCCGCTCGCCGGCGTGCCCGCGAGGACGGCCTGCGGCCAGGCCGCCCGCGGCGCCGCAGGCGCGCGGCCCGCCGTGCGCCGCCCGCCTCCGGCCGCCGCGTGCCCGCCGCGCGGCGGGGCGCCGGGGCGCCGGCCGCGGGCCTCGGAGGCGTCCTCGGGGAGCCCAGGGCCCCTCGCGCTGGGAGAAAGGGCGCAACGGGAGGGGGAGGAGGAGGAGGAGGAGGAGGAGGAGGAGGAGGAGGAGGAGGAGGAGGAGGAGGAGGAGCTTGAAGTGCTATGGCTGAAGGGCGCCTTAACCCCGTTAGTGGGCCCAGTTTACTGGTGTCACCACCCTCTCG